TTGTGATCTGGTGGACGAAACGCACTCGATGAAACAAAAATCTGGATGAAAGTTCGCACATCAAAGATCACACAAGTGCAAAAGGCCGTAGCGAGGCGGAGGCACGTCTGCACAGCTCAGCGTCCCTATCATATTCGAGAGTGAGAGAGAGAGGGTAAACTTCATTATTTTCCAGCAGATTGCTGGGCTGGGCTCCCACCTAGGCGCTAACGGAGAGACTGTGTCTCCCGGCAGCTTCCTTGGCCTGCTGGATCACCCAAAAGTTCTTGATAACAGCGCAGTCCGCCAACGCGCCCGAAGGTCTTCATTGAAAGCCGTGACCCCAGAATTTATGACTAATGCTGGCCATTCCCATTGGGTATGGTCAAGAGTGGCTCTGGTGGTACAGTACTGGCATAGATTAGAACTATACACGTGGGGATATGTGGTGCATGATGACGGGGTTCATGTATGTGCGTGTTTGTAGCTGCCACCATTGAACGGACGGGGCCCGACTTAGCTTGGGTTGAGGCGGAGGGTACTCCCGCCTTTGCAGTCGATAGTGTTGAGTTATGTCATTAAATTTAGTGAGCCGATCATCCCACTCCCACACCGGCGCAGAAAATTCTGTTTGGGTGGCCGCTTCGTCTGACGCGACTTGGCACGTAAGACCTCGAGCCACGTTGTGCACCACTTCATTCGGACTGTCCTCTTGGTCACCTAGTGGTGTGTGGGCAGGGAACCAAAGGATGTGCACGTATTTGTCCGCCTCGTGAATTTTCACTGTACTAAGAATCCGCAATGCCTCGGGGGAAATTCTGCCGCTGGCGTAGTTTCGAACGGCTGTCTGCGAGTCGCTGATTACACTGGAGGTGTTTGTGTAGGCTGTGGTCATTGCGATAGCCACTTCTTCTGCCATTTCCACGTTCCGTATGATGATACTCCGATACTCTTTGAAAAAATCACGCTGGTGGCCGTGGGGCAGCGTGACAGTCTACGGAACTTGCGAACAAGGCTTCTCAAGAAAATTTGTAATATCGCAATAATGTTGCGTGGTGGGTGTTTAGAAAAAGTGAGTGCAAGCGCACATTTCCATCGGGCGTCATAATATTAAGATTATCATCATGACTTCGACGTTTAAAGAGAGCCACCTATTACAGAGGCACATACGTTAACGCATATCCCCTTAAAACTACGTACGTAGCAAGTTCAAAAACGTTTCACGCGCATAATTACCGGTTGTTTAGATCATGTCATATGCCAAAGCTTTTCTGACACAAACCACTTTCATTGATTACATACATTGCAGTGATCCACAATATAAAGATATCGAGTAACATCATACAATAAAAATTTGGGAACCCTTAAGCTTCGTATCTAAGAATTAAACGCGATAGTGGAAATTCGGAGGAAGCTTTTTTATATCGCTGTAATCTGGTAAACAGGTAGCGCGCTTTAGAGTATACTAGATCATGTACCTGAAATGTTTTCGAACTTGCTATATATGCAACCAGTATGCGTTATTTTAAGGGAATGCGCGCAATAAGATGTGTGCATTTTGTAATGGGTAGTCGGCTTTACACCACAAAGCCGCTATGACAATCACATGTTCTGACGCCCGACGGCAACGCGTGCTTGCATCACGCAAAATTGGTGTGATATTACTTGTATTGTGAAGCTTTCACACAGCCCCGCCGCGGTCGTCTAGTGACTAAGTTACTCGGCTGCTGACCTGCATGTCGCGAGACCGACCCCCGGCTGCATGCGGCGGCTGCATTTGCGATGGAGGTAGAAAAAGTTGTAGGCCCGTGTGCTCAGATTTGGGTGCACGTTAAAGAAACCCAGGTGGTCTAAATTTCCGGAGCCCTCCACTACGGCCTCTCTCATAATCATATGGTGGTTTTGGAACGTTAAACCCCACATATTAATCAATGAAGCTTGCACACATGGTGATTCATGTGTTTATATACAGCATGAAAGCTATTTTCACTGCATTTCCAAGCAGAAGCGTGACTGTGTAGTAGAGCGCCATGCATGCTTGCTACGCAAACGGTTTGGGTTCTATTTTTACTCTGGCCCGAAATTTTTCATTATTTGTTTTATTGCATCTTTCTCGATTTTTTGCTGTCACGGACAAGATGATGATTTTTCGCTTATAGAACCAACAATGCCCCCACCGACACCGACGCCGGAATTTCTGCGAAACGAGCTCCTTGATGTGATTGCGTTAAAGTTACGCACTAAGGGGTTGAAGTACGCACTATATAGGGACAGAATACCGCTATCACGTTCAAATCTTAAAGGCGAAGCTCAAGAGTCCCCTGATTTTTCTTCTTTTTGAAGGTTACGTTCGATCAGTTATCACTGATCAGAACCAGATATCCTCATCATAGGTGTCATTTAGTGATAAAAATGCGCCGATCAGCAGGCCTATGCGGGGCATTTCCACAGCGAATGTGTTCATGGTATCACAACAGCTCCTTTTGGAGCCGTAGTTGTACGCCGCCGCTATAAGTAACCGCTGTCTCTCGGAATAAAAAAAAATATATCTAATAGAACAGTATGTCGACCCGGGCCTTCTGCGTGGTGGCCAAGTATTGTATGCTGCAGAGCCACGCTGGTGCTTAAGAATCATATACAAACGGACCTTATGCAGGCTTCATGTCGGTCGCGTAATCGCGTTAGCATGTGTATTACGGCGTTTCATTAGAGGAAAACAATAACCAGTTGTCACATAATGTGAATTGCGTAAGAAGTGGGTCATTGATTGCAAAGGCCCTATTTATTCATCACCATCAGCCATTGCATCAACAACGTGCACGTAATGCCTTATACAAGGGCAGCGGGGGCCTTGCTTCTCCGCAGTCACAAAAAATAGTGGCGTTGTGGGTGTTCCATGCAAGTGTACCAGCTTCAAGAGTGTTTACAAGAGGTTATGGAAATTCCACTGCATACAGGTTCCACCCACGCCTAGCGTTTCAACGGCGAGGCTGATTAGAAAACCGTTCCTTGTTCACCCGGAGCATCATCGTCATCAACGAGTGTGTGCCACGGAAGGCGGCAGTTCGCCCGACGAAGGGGCATGTGCCGCCGAAATTCGTGCGGCCTGTCTGAAAGCTGTCGCCATCATAAACGGCAAACAGGGTCAGCACTTTAACCAAAAAGGAAGGCAACATTCAGCCCGACATCTGCGCAAGCATCTGCACTGCGGTGAACAATATTTGCTTGTGGTCCGCATCGTGTGAAATCGATATATACAGTATATATGAGCCTTCTTCTACTTGGCGCTGAAATCGAACGATTTGCAGTGTCTAAAACATTGTTAGAATTAAGACAAGTGGCTGTGCTCCTTGCTGCACATGACATCACATCGCCAGCGGTGGTCGGGGTTTACAGCCGGTGACTTCAACGACTTGTTTTGTCCAGAAAAACAGGCCCACTTTTCGTAACTGTGTAGGCATAATACACCATCTGCTTTTGCTGGAAAACCACAAATTGTTGGGTGTCGTGGCCCATTTAATGTCGGCTGCCCTCGAAATTTTCCTCGCAGTGTGTACTACTTTCCCGAAAGTGAATGAACCCGCGTTGATGTATGCGGCCTCGCAGAGCCACTGTTGCGTAGCCAATGGGTCTGCGAAGCCAAAACATATCCCAAATGAATGGTGCAGTGAGCGCGAGGCGGGGTCCACGGAGGCCGATCAATTAATTGCCGGGAGGTCACCATTCGAGACGAAATGATGGCGCAGGCCTCCTTTGATTCGGCGCAGGTGTGCTGGCGCGGAGGTAGGTGGCCGTATGGGTGCTACGCCTGGGCCGCCCCCTTTCGAGCGGACGATATTACATCCTGGAGCTTCCGGCCTGGTTGAGAAACGGTGGCAGCTCGCCGTATGCGGCCACGTGCGTCCACCAGCGGCTGTTCGACAGGCATTCGTTCAAACGCCAGATCGAGAGGCCCGCGTGAATTACTCGCCACATCGAACGGGCTCTCTACAGGTGCGAGAGACAGGTACGGCGCCGGTGCAGCCGGATCCTCGTGGGGCCTTCGCTTCTGTGCGCCTCGAGTAGCCGCGATGGGCGTGGATGTACTGTTTTCAGCTCGCCTCATCGTATTCGTTACGACGCTGCAGAATGAGCAGTCTGGAATTTCATGGATTCATTCGGCTCTACTCATTTTGTGTCGTTCAGCCTGACCAAGCCTCCTGATAATAGCTCTGCAGGGTGCCGTGTTGACCATTGGTGCGCAAAAGAATGACATTGAAATAGCTAGAATGACTGCGTTTTCCTTACGCCGCATTAGAAAAACTCACTGTCAAAACGGCGTGAATTGTGTTGCAACATACAAACGTCTCTTTGTGTGCGTGTGCATGTGTGTGTGCGTGTGTGTGTGTGTGTGTGTGTGTGTACTATTTTATGTAATTGTGTACAGGCCGTGCTTCAGGCATCAGAGCACTGCGCTTTGTCTTATCGTGACATTTTTATTATCTGGTTTGTGGATCTAAATATCGTCGTTCCTTTTTGCCATCTTAATTCTCATATTCCCCGTTACTGCTTCTCGAGAAACTAAACACCAGCGCCGACGATGGGGTCGCTGCCTTTCACGTTTCCAGTATTAATTACAAGAAGTGAAAGTGCCTCAGCATTTGTTGCGTAGAACGTCTGTATACTATTGTGCTTTTTGTTGCTTTACGGGGGAAGAGGAAGAGTGCCAAGGGCGGGTCGTCCGGGTAGAAGCACGCTTAACGCGTGGAACCATTCCAAAATCTCATTCTAATGTTCAAAAAAATTGTTTCTGATTTTTTTTTTACTTTTTGCTTATGAAAGTTTTGTGAAATCTCTCACATTATTAAGGCCGATGATGAGGCCTCACCGGTGCTCGTACATAAAGGTTTTGTTTTGCTGGTGCGATGTCTCTCGAAAGCATTTAGGTCAGGCGTCTCATCCGGCTTACGAACACATTTCTATGTTGTACTTACAATGAGCGGGTATTGACCGCACTTACATTTACTTCACTTTCTTTGCAGGGAAGAATGAATTGAGGGGGCAGACCTTCGATCTTCGTTGGTCGTGGATCTCGCTGGCCCATGAACGGTACATCGTCAACGAGACCGACTCACACTTGGTGGTGGTACTCCACAGGAGAGGCTACCTGGGGGAAACGGCATTCGTTGGTGCGTGTAAACTGTTTTCCTTCCACTCACAACTGTTACGATTCGAAGCTTGCAGTTAGCTGTGTGTGTGCAAAATGCGTATTAAAGTAATTCCTTCAGTAGAAACCAACGGAATCGAGAACAAATAGAGAAGGAAAGGTGGGAAGGTTAACCAGAACAAGATGACTGGTTTGCTACCATATACATGGGAACAGGAAAAAAACATAGCACTTAACACAGCACACAGTCGGTCACGTCCATCATTCTGGCGCGGTGCACACATCACTGTCACAGCCGCTTGTCCATGTCCGCGTTTCTTAAAAACCTCAGTACTTCCTTCGTCGCCTTCAGCCTTGATGTCGACGACATGTAACAATATTTTTAACTGCCATTTGTCTGGGTGCGCAAGAACGGACGCCACTTACTGTTTACGAACGTTATATACCGGACAGTTAACCAGTATTTCTGTTGTGCTATTGCGGTGTTACTGAAGGTATGAAAAGATCGTAACCAAACGGGTCAGCATTTTTTTTAATGCACGCCTTCATCGTGTCATGCGCATAAGCCGTAATGAAGATGCAACAAATCTAACTCACATGGTCGCCTAAGACGACTCGAAGGTGAATACCATTCGGTGTAGCTATCAGCGCCCAATTGAAGTTTGAGATGGTCACGTGAGTACACCTTTTTCATGCTGGGCCTGATTATGGCGATACGTAGGAAGCATAGCTCATTGCAAAACGTTAAGATCTTTCAATCATCCACTTGCTACGCAATTCACTCGACAGTTGACACCAGTTGGGAACGTGTACGGTTATCTCCCGCAGGTGCATCTATTAAGGGGCCAATGCTTTTTTTTTACAACCTCCAAATAAGCTCGGCTATTCGAAGAGTAGACCGCAGCGATCACGTTTTCTGAATATTACAGCGCTGCGCGCCGCGCAGAACCTGTCGCTCGCTGAATTCCGTGCCGACTGGTTGTGCCCTCGCGATCTCCGACGATAGTGCAGCTCTGGCCGACTGGGTTGGTCCTACGCCATCTCCTGACGCCGACAAGAGCTCTCGTCGAGTGGTGCCCCGTCCTCGGACTCCTGCGACCGTGTTCATCTTTCCTATCTTCTCTTTACTTCCGTCGCTCGCTGTCGTGTGCCTCGCTCTCTCCTTCTCTCTCTCTCTCTCTCTCTCTCTCTCTCTCTCTCTATATATATATATATATATATATATATATATATATATATATATATATATATATATATATATATATATATATATATATATATATATATATATAAACCTTTTAATCCTATTCTTTTAATTTCCCCTTACCCCCATCCCTTGTGAGCTACTGTTGAGGGGTCACACCTGATGCAGACAGTTACGGGGCTGTCTTTTGTCTTCTTTTCCCTTTAGGAACCACATAAGAACCACATAATCGCAGAGCCTCTATTTTGAAAAACAATTCCCGCGCTTCTTCCCTACGCCTTACCAATGCTCCTTCCACGCGCAGTCTCGAAAAGTCGCCGATCAGCGACTTGACGTAGCCCGCAGCTCGTCGATTGGTCTAAACCAGGTCTCAAAAAAAAAAGTAAAATCAGCGTCAGTTTTTGTTCCCACCCTCAGCTACGAAACTGCCCCCTCCCCTTCCTCGTTTTTTTTTTTTTTCTTGTCACTGCGGTCACACAGCTTTGGCTTCACAGTACTCGCGCGTATACATTCTTTGCTCAACTGCAGCTCAACATACCGCCCCCGCGCACGCGTTTTACCCTCGACATGAGCAACATGGGGGAAAAGCGTTGCTGCGTGGGCGGTGTCACGACTACGGACTACGCCTCCCCTCCATGTGAGGAAAGAGGGTTGGGGCCGCGCGAAAATTTGAAACCAGCTAAAACGTATGTTCTAGCCTCCGTAACTTCCTTAATATAGCATGTATTCACCAAATTCTTGCGGCAGCATGTTCACGAAGTAAAAGTGCACATGTTTCTATTTATAATAAGTTTTGAACCTGGAGGTTCTTTACCGCCCCTTTACCGGACTTCTGTAGCTTACCCGACATGAGGACATTATTGATTGATATGTGTAGCTTAACGTCCCTAAACTACCATAACATTATGAGAGACGACGTAGTGGAGGGCTCCGGAAATTTCGACTACGTGGGTTTCTTTAACGTGCGCCCAAAACTAAGAACATGGGCGTACAGCATTTTCGCCTCCATCGAAAATTCAGCCGCCGTAGGCAGGATTTTATCCCGCGACCTGCGGGTCAGTAGTCGAGTACCTTAGCCACTAAACCACCGCGGCGGGGCATGAGGACAGTATGAAACCTTTCTTCCGAAAGCACTTTCAAGGCACTGCATGGTACTGCGGTATAATGATTGTCTGCAACGCAGAATACGTGGAATCTGTTCCGGATGGAACTCGTTTTTTTTATCTGGTCTTCGAAAAAACATGTTTTGTTTTAGGCTTTTATTTGGTCAGTGTAGTTGGTTCCTTTACCAGGTGTCCATTAAGGTAACACTGGCTTTTTGGGCGCCGTGATTCTCGTCTGATGGAAGCTCGAGGCTTTCGCCTTGAGAACGAGCAGCAAAGCTTCGATTAGGGCTAGTTGGTGCGGCATTCTAATGCTGTTGCGCTGAGTGGAATGCACGAAGGACTAACGAAAATGGGATGCCCCGCCGCGGTGGTCTAGTGGCTAAGGTGCTCGGCTGCTGACCTGCAGGTCGCGGGATGAATTCCCGGCTGTGGTGGCTACATTCTTGATGGAGGCGAAAATGCTGTATGTCCGTGTGCTTAGATTTGAGTGCACGGGCCCAGGTGGTCTAACCCTAGGTGGTCTAAATTCCAGCATTCCTCCACTACGGCGTCTCTCATAATCAAAAGGTGGTCATTAAACCCCACATATCAACTAATGAAATTGGGGACGGTTTCTACTATCAGTCTATGCCTCCGACGTCATATGATTCCCCCTCCTCCGAAAGAATGCGTGAGCTACAAACTATAAAACATGAACAAGCGGAGCCTCATAATAAGAAAAAAATATGTTAGAAAATGCTGTAGTTCCACCTCACAAGGCAGTTCCATAATCTTGCGCCAAAAAGTTTTACAGGAAATGGCAGTCCGGTGATATCTAGGCGAGCACAGCAAAGCCGTGATTAGCATCGTGTAGCAGGGAGGTGGCAAGGGGAAATAATTGTGAGGAAGAAAGGGAAGAGGGAGAATGAGTGCGAAGCGAAAGAAGGAGAAACACAGAAATGAAAATAATGGGAACAAAATGGAAAACATAGAAGGCGAGAAAATCACTGCACAGAAAGAGAGAAATGAAAAAAAAGGCGTAAAAAAAGGAAAAAAAAAAGAGGGAACGGGACGAGAAACGGAAAAAAGATGCACAAAGAAACCAATGAACCTAGAGAGAAATACATAAACAAGAGACTGAAAATTCACAGCATATCCTGTGTGTGAATGATGAGGAGTTGGGTGATGCATCCATCCATTCATCCATCCATTCATCCATCCATCCATCCATCCATTCATCTGTCTGTCTGTCTGTCTGTCTGTCTGTCTGTCTGTCTGTCTGTCTGTCTGTCTGTCTGTCTGTCTGTCTGTCTGTCTGTCTGTCTGTCTGTCTGTCTGTCTGTCTGTCTGTCTGTCAACCACACGAAAACCACTAACGCCACCTAGTGATATTATTTGCAAGGACTATACACATAACGCCATCTATGGAGCAATTCATAAACTAGAGGTGGCTACATACTACTTACTACGACTATTACTACTACAGAGGCGGGAGCTACCCACACCCTAAGAAGCATCGCCCCTAAAATGGAAAGATGCCCTTGTATAAGAGGGAAAGGAAACAGGTAAGAGGGTAAAAAGCGTAGTCAAGCCCTGAGCAGCTAGGCGCCCATGAGCTGTGCCATGACCGAGCCTCATGCGAATTTGGGCGAGCGATTTCGCTGGCGATTTTTCACCGCCGGTATTTGTGGCGCCGATTGGCCTTTGGTTCAGATTTACCTTCTTAATTTAGTGCACTCTCCCCACCGACAAGCAGAGGAATAAACTACTATGGATTTCGAAGGAAACGAAATGTCAGCCTTTCGTCGTTCTTTTTCTGTTGATACAAGTTGGTGTGATATAATTGGAAGAAGAACACCTACAAATAAAATGAATACGAAAAAAAATGCCGCCCGACTCCTCCCATGGGGGGAACTCGAGTAGATGCGTCGCAGAGTGGTGGAGGTATCGCGTGAATGCTGCGTAATCGGGTATGGTTCGGGAATGCTTAATTGTCATTTCGTCTTTATTATTCTTGTTTGCTGAATGAAGGAGAAGTGTTGCCTTCAGTGAGTGGTGGGACGCTGATGTGCGATCCAGTGCCTGTACATATACGGGGTGGCCAGTGAACGTTTGTGTAGCTCGAGCAGACGGTTTTTGCTAGCAGACGCTGTTTGAGTCTGCCTTGCGAGGCAAGAGGGGAGGAGCAAACAGTTGGCACAAGACACAAGCATGCGGCACGATACACGAAGCTGCGAGCATGCGCAGTGAGCGTGTGGGCATCGCCGCCGACGCCCGACACGTGACACCGTGCGGCTAACAAATGATCTGCATTTAAATACGTTTGAGGCCCCCTATCGGGAGCCTTGTTCACCGTGTTCAACAGCATCCCGCCATGGCAGCCTAAATGTCTTTTTCGTATTCCTCTTCATGGTGGGTGCCATTCTTTCAATTATTTCATATTGCTTCCCTAGCAGACGGACTTGCGTAAGAACCTCGATATCATTAAGCTGATGTGTTGTTGTTTTTTTCTCACTTCATCGCAGGAATCTCGGCGCGAAACCTGAGTGCCCGCCAAGGCCTTGACTTCAGCGCGTCCTATGCACGCCAAGTGCAGTTCAGCCCGGGCCAGACCGAGGCCGAGTGGCGACTGCGTCTGCTGGACGACGCGTCCTTCGAGCGCCACGAGGAGTTCCTCGTCGTGCTGGGACAGGCACTGAAGGCCGCCACCGAGTACTCCAGGACAAGGCCTTGGTTTCCCTGCACGATGCAGAGGATGGTGCGCACCGATTAAAAAAAAAGTCACCCTAATTTCTGCATCCCCTTCACCTGCAAGCAATATGACGTGATTATTATATTCTAGGAGGGCGTCCAATCCTTTTCAGTTTATGCATAGCGTATAAGTTCTCCAGGAAATAGGCAATACCTGCACATAATTCCATTTCGCTTAAGCACGCACGTTGACCGTACCATTAATAACGGCATATAGATATATATTCTAGCGGGAGACAGTTGTCGACTCTTTTCAGGCGAGAGAAAAGTGGCACTGTCAGCTCGCTTATTTTTTTTTCTTCTGACGCATCTAAGTCTAGATTAGTGTATGTGGGGTTCAGCCTACTTCTTTTCTCTTGCATGATTGTCGCTCTCGTGAATAGTGAACCCATAGACGTGCGCACGGGGAGAGAAGGGGGGAAGGGTAGGCGCAATGTCTGCTTTATCTATCGACTTAATAGGGAAGGGGCACTGCTACAAGCATTCTCCCCCCCCTCCCCCATCCCCTTCTGAAGTCCCTGGAACCCTGAGCAGGCCTATGAGTGGATCATCGCAAAACTGTACAAATGGGCACATGAACGAACACTTATGCGATTAGTCGTAGTTCTTGAACAAAAACAAATATTCGTGCAACCGAGATTTTCATGCACTATTGAAAAGTTTACCAACACGTTGCAGACACTAGACAGTTGCAAATTGTTCCCTAAAGGCACTGGGGAGACACGACACCGATTTTGGTCGGCTGACTGTCTTAGAGAGTGTGTTATGTCTTGTCGTCGCCCTATGACTGCCACGCCATCAATATGTTTATATTCTAAAAAAATATGCTACACAGACAGAAAAGTGCGGCAAAAATATAGGCAAGAGTACCTGCTAAAGGGGCCCTGCGACACTCTTCCAAGTAATTATCGAATGGCTTCAATAAACGAGTTCTTTGCCTACCAAATCGATCGCCATACGAATTCTTTAAATCTGTTGAGTACCAGTGGAGTTGCGTTGATTTGCCATGCGCTTTAAGCCGTGAAATCTATGCAAGGAGAGCCATGACAATACCTCTTTTGGTCGGAGTTCTTTGTTTTCGGTTCTACGCACTTTTAGAGATGGTTACTACGCATAACCAGCATGACGAGCAACTTGGAAACTCAACAAAAATCAAAACTTTCAAAGCTGATATGTTGCATTTCGCCGTACACCACCTACGAAGTATTCATAACGCTGAAACATTGTCTTTAGCGATGCTTTTTTTTTCCCTTTCATTACAGAACCGACAATGTCTTTTGCCGAAACTAACGTAACTGTGTATGAGGACAGCGGGGAGGTGCTGCTCACAATACACAGGCACGGCGACGTTAGCACGGACACCAGCGTACTCTGCGTCACACATCCAGGTAAGCAGTAAAAGAATGCGTTCTTAAAACCGTGAGACAAAAAAGAGAGAAAGAAGCATGCGATGGCATAAATGGTTTACACGATGCATGTAAGGCTCGCTCCAACAAGGTTCTATACTTTACGCTTTAGTGATTGTGGTGAGTTGCCGTTTGTAAGTTGAGTCATACTTTGCTAAAATGATATTGCTTTAGCACAGCTCCGTTTTGAGCGTGAAGATGCTATTCATTAAAGAAGGGGAAAAAAACAGACGACAGTGCGAGCACTAACTTCCAACTCTTGTTTATCGCGTACCCTTACAACACAGTATACAGCTCATTTCACGTGACGCCACACACATGAAATGGTTGGTATATAGTTATTAGAATAGATTGCGTCTCCCTTCATATCTAGTATCAGCAAAATGCTGGCGTTTTTTTTTTAACTTGCCGGAACGCTTGAAGATTTAAGATATAATGTGTTTAAAACGCCATCCTTGACCGAATCGGGTGTTAAGAAGTTTTTGGGCACATTGTATTCTGTTTCACAGCAGAGAAATTCGTATTTCAGTTGTGCAGTTCGGAGTAGATGCCCTCTACCTGCCACGCTTACTGTGTCTATTAAGTTTTTAATGGTGTTTTTCTGCATATTTTTATACATTATGGTCCTTCCCGTACGCAGTATTGTTTAGCTGCCTTGATACTGCCGTTTTTTTTGTTTACTGCTGTCTTTTTGATGTTTTATATGTTACTGTTGATCAGTTTTGAAGGGATCAGCAAGGAAACAGAAGAGTGTTACCGCTTCACCTTGTTTCACCCTGACAGGTACGGCCTCGGGCACTCAGCCATCGCCACTGGAATCCTACTCGGACTACGTGGCCAGACCGATGAGTCCAGGCAGCCTCGTGCGCTTCCGTACCGACGAAGCGGTGAAGACGTGCCGCGTGGCCATCATCGACGACTCTCTCTACGAAGAGGCCGAAAACTTCACCGTGAGCTTGATTTCGCCCCAGAATGGACGGGTCGGAAAGAACGGCTCTGCGGTCATCACCGTCGCTCCAGACCCCCGAGATGGTTTGTCTGTTTGTGCGTGTTTGTGCGCGTGCGTGTGTGTGTATGTGTGTGTGTCTGTGTGCGTTTGTGTAAGTGACGGTGCACGCGTGTGTTTAGAGCTTTCTATTAGGTGTGGACTACCTTGGGCCAGGCTGTCGTATGCTGTCGTCGTCGCTTGGCGTAACGCAGGCAAAGCCATATATGAAATGGCCAGCTGTTGATAACTCAGGGCACGTTCGCGCCAAAAAGACGTGTTCTTCCTCTTGTTCTACAAACTTACCGATGATATAACGTACGGACATCCCTACTATATGGCTGGAGAAGCATGGCAACATAGACCACGTATAAAAACGTAAGGGAAACCAGACGAGAAATACTAAAAGAGAGAAGGAAAAGGAAGGATAGGAAGTAACATAGAAAGAAGGAAAAAATACAGGACCGGAAAAGAGAACAGGAAAAAGATGAAGGAGGAAAAGAAAGAGTTGAAAGCCGAAGAGAAAACAAGGGCTCCGCACTCTCCTCGGGTTCGGCACCATTTTAGGGCAAAGCTGTCTCAATTTTTCTGTTCGACTCAAAAGCTACAAAGGAAAATCGATGCAGCTCTGCTTTATGGCGCGTCATATCTCCTATAGTAAAGCATGCATACTTTCAGGTGGAAGCATCCATGTAGGATGCAAAGCGCCCACATATGAGCGACAAAACGTTCCTTTTGAACCAAATTCAATACACGCTTTCGCAAGCTGGCGAAACGAGACATTGCTCCGCCGGTGGCATAGCCAGGATGATGATGACAGTGATAAGGATGATAAAGATGGTGATTACGACTGATTAACGGGCGCGAGGACATGTTCTTCGCGTGCAGTCTTTGCGAACCTGCTCTTCCTCGTGGCTCCAAAGTGATGAATAATCGTAAGGGTTTTAGAAGCTCAACATGCATACTATTTTTGAAAGGAAGCAAAGAATATTGAAGATGTTATACATCTGCACATTTGCTAAATATACCATCGACGAGCTATCGTCGACAAATCATTAGGGGAGTCACGGCTCCCACGACTCTCCGAACACAATATATGATTATCGCCAAACAAAAGTTAACGTGCGCCTTTAAAGAGAGTTGTGTATGTGGCAAATCGGCATTCGTCAAAGAAAGTAATGTTTGTTTTGCGCACTCGCATCGGAAACCATATTTTTACCTAGTAAGTCTTCAACCGCTTCCCTGTGGCCAGCTTGACACTTACCCGCACTTCATTGTATGATTTGCGGAAACAGGTGCGTCTGAGAAACTCAGCTTGGATCATTAAAAGTGCGCGGTGTCTACCGAGATTCGTGAGCCTTGGATATTGTCGCTTTTTGCTTCAAGAAGTGGCAATATACATGCCAAGTTATCGAAGTAAGTAACTTACTGCGTACTAAATGTGGGACTTAGTGGGGGCGTAATAACACATAACTGAGCTAGTTTGGAATTATTCATGTTAAACGAGTCAGCGTGCAAACACGGACACAAGAGAGACACCACACACGCTATATAATAACAACTGAACAATGGCGGAAAAACAGATTTCTTGAGAAGTTTCCTCTTGCCCTGAATTTACTAATTCATCCAATGTTTATCATCGAATGCGTACTGGGTGTTTCAACACATCGAACCACGTACTCGTATTACATGCGCGGTTTGGCCAACGTCGCTTCTGGACGTGGCACGCAAGTACGTGCAGGAATCCGCCCTGTGTTGTTTTCCTACCCCATACCAACAGACGCTACTGATTAAGATGTGTGCACACTGTATACTTTCGAATTCATGTGGTGGTCGCAATGTTCCTATTTTCTGTCCCGTTTCTCTCCAACGTAGCCCCGTACTTCTACTTCGAGAAGCCAAACTACGAGGTGGACGAGAGTGCGGGAAGCTTCGAGGTGACCGTGCTTCGAGATGGCTCAGACCTTAGGATTACTTCGTCAGTGATGGTGCGCTCGAAGCAGATGTCTCCACCGAGTGCGCAAGGTGAGAATTCCGCACTCGTGATCAAACGCGACAGATCATGAAGCCAAACAAGATTTAGGGGACGTTCCTACAGCGGTTTTGTAGTTATTGTGATATGGACGTGAAGAAACCTCGGAGTTGCATGAGGGCATGCCACGGCTACAAGAGGCACGGACTAGACTTCATGCGCATATATACGCGATAAAGAAGACAGGAAGGACGACTGTCGCCGCTGCGCAATCTGTTAAATCATGCAGCCGTGTATTCGAAGACTGCAGGTTCCATCGGTGCTGGAGGCAGTTTGTGTTTTCAGACACTTTGATTTCTTCACATCTAAATCACAATAACTACCGTGCAGTTAAACTACTACAAAAGTCCCCTACCTCTTCCTGGGCTCCATTGTATGCTATAGGTTTCATTGATTTTGTGTCAAGTAATGAAGCGAGCTCTTGAATTTTCTCGTTCGGCAATTTCTTTCATGACATTAAAAGTGCACATTTCAGCTATTCGAGCTCGTTACCTTCATTTATACACGTAAGGAAGCCAGTGCTGCGGAATTTAAGAGTAGCCTGCTATCATGCGCTTTGAAAGTCGAATTGTCCTCAGAATATAACGAAAGAGAACCAGCAGTGGTAGCAGCAGCGTTATCGTCGTAAGGGTGCTGCAAATTCAAGCATGCCTGAAGAATTGCGCAGTTGTACCTTCAGTACACGTTGTACCACCTCGTCGCTCTTGAAGCAAAATGATGAGATTTCTCTCAAGTGTGCCAGTGAACCGACCTGTTCCCCTTCGGCAGCCGGCAGCGACTACATCGCCGTGGGGAAGCTGGTGCGGTTCCCTAGCGGCTCAACGTCGCAGACAGTGGAGGTGGTGCTTCTCGACGACTACGGCCAGCCCGACCTAGAGTTCATCGAGACCTTCCAGCTAGTGCTGCGCTCGCCCGTCAACGCGACGGTCGGCACACCGGGAACCGCCGTCGTCTCCATCAATGACACGCTGTCCGACGGTAAGAGTGTGCTGCTATGCCAGGGTGCTAGTCACTTTAACACCTTTTATAAATCGCCATCGCATAACAGCTTACGAAAAATTGGTAAAGCTTATTTAATGAAAGAAAAAGATGACATCAGTAATACACTCTTGGGATAATGCACAAGGCGACAGTTATGTATATGCGAAACGTAAAGCGAAGCTGCAGACTTTGTATTATGGCTTGTCATCATTTCATGTTGCTTGCTTTTGTTACTTGCTGTCTAATACGTAATTTTCCGCCATCAGGCCCACCCATACGTCTTACTCAGGAGAGTTGCAAGAATAACAAGATTATGAGGGTGAAAAGAAGAATTAGAATGTATATAGCTATGCAATAGTAGTTATATATGCAGGTATAATATACAGCAAGAAAGAATACTCATGGATGTATGAAGTTGAAATTGAAACTGTAGGGGGTAACTATACCGGTACACTTTTTTCCATTCTTATTATAAAGATTGACTGTAGCAGTCATATCACTGTATATAAAAAAAACAGAAATATTGATGGCTGTGAGGCCAATACTCTGCATACCTGTTTAAAGGGCCAGTTGGTTCTACACTCTAACCTAAGCTGTTTTTTTTCTTTCCCATCGAGATGCATACACAGATTGAGTGAGCCCCTTTGTAATTTCAATAAAAGTCCCTTACATGGTGTATATGAAAATACAGTTCATTTGCCATTCTTATTTGACCACGTTGAACACTCAGGATAGCACGTGGCAAGCGAATGTGTAGGCAGGATAGTATGTGGTCTCGCGTAGAAGAAACAGCAAAGACGCACAAATGGGAACGCCAGAGTCGCGTGGGCAATAAGAGTACAAAGCAACATTTCACCAGCCCAAAGAAGCATTTTGCACCATAATATTTACGCTACCCTGGGTTAACTCCCGGTTGCTTTTGTAGATGCTTGTGTTAGCATGACCAGCAGTCAATTAAACTTGTAAAACTTGTAAAACTCTCAGGGCAACTTGAAGGCCTGCTGCACACTTGGCCGATGCATTAAGTTATGCAGCCATCAGCGAGCAGCAGATTTCCTGCAAGGTGCAAGAAGCTGCTGTGTGAAAAGATTACCGAACATATCAGTCGATTGCACTGTAGGTGCCCTTTTTCCCCTTCACGCCGTCTAGCACTACCTGAGAAAGTGGCCCACCTTGGTAACTGCTGACATCACAATTTTCGAAGACATTTGACGTCATTGCAGACGTAGGTCGTGTAGGTTTTCGTTCCACTTCATTTGCCCGCCATGTTTTGCTCAAGGAGCCGCATGTAACGAGACGTTTAAAGCTTTCACTTGATTCTGTGTGGTGATTGCGTCTGAATTTATGACAAAGAGTTGGTAGCGTTTCGCAGCACGTCTATTTCGACGTGGAAAACAGCAACATCTTTCATGGCGATGGTGCAGTGCCGAAGATGTTCTTCCTAGAAGAAGAGTACGTGGTGGACGAAGAGGCCGGCTCCCTCTCGGTGCCCGTGGTTCGCACGGGCGACACCAGTCAGCAGTCGTCAGTGCGCTGTTACACGCGCCAGGGGTCGGCGACGGTCGACCTGGACTTCGAGGAAAGGCCCAACACCGACCAGTCCCTCATCGTCTTTGACTCCGGTGAGCAGGGTTTTACTTGTTTGCGTTTGAATTGAGTTCATTTACGACAACGCTGTGAGGATGGTCAGGCAGAAAAGCTGCATTGAAGAGCTAACCTGGCCGCCTCATTCACTGAGCAGCTTCACAATGGTCAAACAAATGCATACGGTATACATAATGCATGAACTGAGTGAAAGGGTGGACAACCACAGTCGAAATAGTTCTACGCATTATCACAACGCACGGGTTATTTTAACTATTGTGCATTGTCACATAACGCTGCGCAACTGTTCGTGAAAAGGGCAAAAAGGACTACCATGGTAAAATCACTCACAATTCCATGCCTACACCTTGGCTGTTTGCACAGTCACGGAATTACGTAACACTAGGTTAATGTTCAGTAAACTACAAGGGAAAGCTAGTAACGCTGACGTACACAAAGGCCGACGCATGAGGGGGCACGCGGAATGCCCCTCCTTCACAAGAGGGGCCCCATTTCAGCCCCATATTTTCATTTAGTCTGTCGGAGCTTTTACGTCATTTTTAATGCGCAGGATCGTGGCTGTTTAATAGGAAAATAACAATGTGCATAAGCTACACGAAAACAAAGAAGACGCTGTCTCTCGTCTGTGTCTCATGTCCGGAACACGCAGACTAGGTGCACATTTGTGTCAAGCTGTAGCAGGGGCCGTCATGCCAGGGCAAGGAGAACGATAGCAGCGACTGCGCGAACTGATCGACAAGTAAGAAAGTTGAAAGGAGCAGATCGGTGCCGCCTTTCGCAAACCTAGTTGATTGACTGTGGGTTTAACGTCCCGAAACCACCATATGATTATTAGAGACGCCGTAGTGGAGGGCTCCGGAAATTTCGATCACCTGGAGTTCTTTACGTGCACCCGAATCTGAGCGCACTGGGCCTACAGCATTTCCGCCTCCATCTGAAATGCAGCCGTCCACAGCCAAGTTTGGATCCCGCGGACCGCGGTTCAGCAGCACAGTACCTTAGCCACTATGATACCACGGCGGAGCTTTCGCATAAACCTAAAGTAAGGGAGGATTCAACAGGAACAATAAAGCATTGCCGCCCGTAGCACAATCTGACACATAGAAAGCATCGGAATGTTAAGCCGGCTGTTTCGTGCACGGGCGAGGCTTGCAGCCTCGACGAAATAAAACCATGGTCGTGGATAAGGCTGGTACATGTTTTAACTCGATGTCCGTACTGCACTAATCGGAAGTAAGTGTTGAGAGCTGGGGTTGTTGGTTGTAAATCTTCGAAAAAGCGCGAAAACTCACAAGACACACGCGAAGCGTATCAGATTGCGTAGTTAAGTGAAATCTGCGTGAGCACCTCGTCAGTCGCCTCATTGCACAAAGAGCTGGAGTATATACGTAAACGGTTTACGTAATCTGAATTAGTTCACTTTTTGGTGGCCTATCTGTGCGATGTCCCGTGGCGCGGAACTATGGGCGTGGTTATTTTAGGTATACGTTGGCGGCCCATTGTTTTCACAATAAAAAGTTGTTGACTGACGGCGCTATGTTTGCAGCGTCTTCTGTTTTTATTTTTACTTTTTGCAGTCTCTTTCGCAAACGTAATATTGTTTTTCATATTCCTGCTGCATTTCTCTTGGCGTGGAGTCCTATATAGTCTGCACTGCTGGCAACACTTATACATCAGTCTATTTGTATTTTTCCAAGCGGAATTGTGTAAGTGCGTGTGAATGAACTGATACGACACTCTGACCAGGCGAGCGTCGCAAGATGTGCGTGCTCCACATCAGAGACGACCATGTAAACGAGGGACTTGAAGAGCTGCGCCTAGTGCTTGGCTCTCAGCGCAGTGACACAGCAGGCATGGCGATGCTTGGAGAGCCCAACGTCGCCAAGATACGCATCCGAGACGAGTCCGACCGTGAGTTCACTTTCTGCTGTATCCTGGGATTCTTGAGTGTGACCGTGCCATATACAAACGGCGGGAACATGCTATACAGTAATCATCTGTCCAGAAGGGCAGTTAGTCGCGCTAGTTGGTCTCCCGTTTTTAATAGAAACTGCGCGAATGGAGCATAGCACAAGCGAAGAAAACAGACAGGGCAAGATTCAACCAACCAACTGAAGGTTTTATTGGTTTTATTGCCTTTAACAAAATGTAAACGAAAAATTGGCAGGGAAACAATGGCGCGTGAAATTTCAAGCCTTCGTCGGGCAGACGTTCAATCAAATATTACAAATCGTGCGATTTAATCGCGTAAACGCACTTGTCCCATGAGAAATAATTCTTTGCTTAGCGTTACCGGGTTTTCCTTTATATTGCGTTGAAGCAATAAACCTGTAGTTGTTATTCAGCGCTCGTCCTGTGCGCTTCTTCGCTTGTGCTATACGTCTCCGTTCACACTCTTTTTCACTAAATAACCACGCGGAAGACAGTGCTTGCAGCTTGCCTTATAATCAAGAAGTAATAGTTAACATTCTGTATATTTCCCCAAATAGTGCGTGCGGGTCTATCAAGCTTGAAATTCCGATTTTCTTGCGCACAGCGGCGTGTCTTGTGGAATAACTTACAGACAAGTTGAGTATTTAATGAAACACACATACGGGAAAACAAGGATGGACGCTGGTCCTTGTTCTTGCCCTATGCGTATGTTTTATTAAGCGCTGTCTATTCTCATGGATCCGTACCAACGAGCTTCACCTCAGCACCTATGCAGATATGTTCAATGAAATTGAAGAGCCGAGGCAGCGGTTTCCGCCCAGATACTGCTAAGCTTCAAGAACAAACATACTACACGAACACACACAAATGTGTCCGTGCTCCATACCTCTAGTAATTACTACAAAAGATTATCACTGTTCCTGGAATAGTTGGCGTTATCAATGAGCGCATAAGTTTCGAAAGTAGGTGACAAAGGAGGCTCGATAATGAGTGAGCATGAGTGTGTGTGTGTGTGTGTGTGTGTGTGTGTGTGTGTGTGTGTGTGTGTGTGTGTGTGTGTGTGTGTGTGCGTTCGTGTGTGAGCGTGTTTGTTTACGTGTGTGTGTGTGTGCGTGTGTGTGTGTGTGTTGTCTGTGTGTGTGCGTGTGTGTGTAGTGTGCGTGTGTGTGTGGGCGTGTGCGTGTGCGAGTGCGAGTGCATGCGTGTGCGTGTGTGTGTGTGTGTGTGTTGTGTGTGTGCATGTGAGTGTGTTATGTGTTATGTGTGTGTGTGCGTGTGTGTGTTATGTGTGTGTGCGTGTGTGTGTGTGTGCGTGTGTGCGTGTGTGCGTGTGCGTGCGCGTGTGCGTGCGCGTGTGCGTGCGCGTGTGCGTGTGCGTGTGCGCGTGCGCGTGCGTGTGTTGTGTGTGTGCGTGCGCGTGCGTGTGTGTATGTGTGTATGTGTTGTGTGTTAGCGTGTGCGTGTGTGTTGTGTGTGTGCGTGTGTTATGTGTGTGTGCGTGTGTGTGTTATGTGTGTGTGCGTGTGTGTGTGTGCGTGTGTGCGTGTGCGTGTGTGTGTGTCGTCATGAATGCTGAAACCACGTGACATTTGTTGGAGGGAGAGTAGGATGAATATGCAAAAAAATATGTCGCATATTTTGTCAGCTAAGTAAATCGTATATAACGTTGTGGTGGCTGCGCAATAAGCGCCAGTCCACAATTCATAACATATTTTCTAATCTAGGTTTACTCGCTGAGCATGCGTTCACTGAGCATCATGTTTGCACATTGATGTTCCGTGTAGGGAATTTTCCCTTTTTCGGGGAATTTTCCACTGTCATTTTGACACAAAGGGAAAAAGAAAATCTTCGTGGTATTGCAGGGATTTTACCGAATGGTTAAATTCTCCTACGACGACCGATAATTAGCGGTCACAGTGCGCCTTCATCTGCTGTAATCACTTATGGCCTATGTACCACGCAAGACTAGCCTTTTACATTTGTGTAAATAATTTCTAATATTAACGTGGAGCGATGTTTAGTACACTATTGATGTTAAACGTGACGCCCACAATGTGCAGTCTACTAACAGTATTGGAAATAATAAAGTCATTCTTTGGTTGTGCGGCGATGGAGGGGCTACTCATGATATCAAAAGTCGTCAGTACCTGAGGTACGTGTAATTATAATAATGTGTACGTGAATGGGGCGTAAATTAGTACTGTTATTCAGCGAATTATGCTGGGAATCTCGTCAACGTTTGCAGGGCAACATTTCCGAAATAGAGAATTCTTCGGCCTAGTACGGAAAATCAATGTGTTTGCATTGAATTTCAGCCACATTCGATAGAAACTGTCTTGTTCTTTCAATTCAGCCCAATCAAGATTGGTAAAGCGAGCCATAGTTCAATCATACTTCATTCCGTTGAACTGCAGAAAACGTGAGCCATGCGGGCAGGTGTCTAAACGAAAGGCTCAAAGAGCAACATAAAAACGGAACTCGTCTGATGCTCGCTCCCTTGGCTGCAATCCGCACATGCCCGGATACACGCGAAGTAATTGAACCTCGGCAAAGTGGCAAGGCGGGCTTGTCACCGGTTAGCACTGCTTTTATTTTACTAACCAAAAAAGAACGACCGCTATTATCTTTGGTAGGAAGTTAACTTTTGTTCTCGAAGTGGATGGCGCGGTGGAATATACGTGATTTCGGAGGATTTAAGTGCGTTGTTTCAGTGTTTTACTTGTTTATTGGTTTGTTCTTTTCGGTGATATCGCTTCATATCGTAGGGTTTCCCATAAATATGCAAACCAAATCAAAATCAACTGTTCCCTATAGTCCGCATACCGTCTCGTGTTGTTTTTCTCACGTAATTATGCATCATCAACTAGCCTGTTAACAATAGTTGCGGAAGGATTAGAGGCTGCGCGGGACATTTAATGCTTATCTATAGGCTCTGACGAATGCCTTCTTTTCTGAAACAGGATTTTCGTGTAACGAGTTTTCTTCGCACCTTCACTCCCCACCAGAGCCCGTGATTCAGTTCCGGCAGACGCGGACGACCGTGAAAGAACCCCGAAACCCGGACGATGTTGTGAGTCTTGCCATATCCGTGGTGCGGCTTGGTGACTGCAGCACCACGTCGGTGGTGCGGGTCTACAGCCGAGACGGATCGGCCACAGCGGGTGCGGACTACCAGCCGCTGTCGCAGGGTGCGTATACTGGCAAGCCTTGGCGCAATAGAGTGATTTATGCGTGAGACTGCGGTGGGCCTGCTCAGCTCGTAAGCCCGCGCAGCGGCTCTTCTTAATTGGCCCTTCCTTTCAGCTCGTGGCTGTAATATTCTGTCGAAGCATGTCCACCAATGCCCGCATTAAAACTTCACACACATGCCGCTGCTGGTGTGTTTTATTAAGATAAAAAAAAAGAATCAAGCTTCTTAGTCATTCATGATCAATGACAAATCAGTCAGTTCCACCACAAATGAAGGCTCTACCGACTGTGAACAATTGAGTCGCACGTTTCTCTTGTGTTACTTCTTGGATTGTCTGCTCTAATCTACTCCTACATGTTCTTTTCGTGTGATCATGCGATATTTTTTTCTATCCTTACTGTTCTTTTATCACGTTCATCTGGTTTGTTCAGCGGTGATCTATTTCGCACGGCAGGTGTAGAGCATGCATGTGGTCCAGATATATTTATGTTAAGCAAGCATAGGTGTGCAGTGCAGTCTGGACAATGCGAATATATTTGAATCGTATGAATGCGTTATACCCGCGTTGCAAAACAAAAGTGGACAGACTACAAGTTTTTTTTCTTCAATTAGGCTTCGCTGAATGTCCTAGTAGCAGCATAAAACCCCGTTATTTTCATATCGTGGGAGCATACTTCTGCAGCCCAGTTGAAAAGTTTTACAAAACTTGGAGATATAGTGGAGTGCCAAGCAACTGACGAGGGGCTGCTTTATACACTAGCCCTTTGTGTCATGCTGTCCAGTACAGTGGACAAATTTCTGCAATTTTTGGAGCAGCTGTGGTACCTCACAGACACGCGTTGACATATTGGTAGCTAAGGTGAACTAAAAGGATTTTATTCACCGCATTAGATTGTGGCATGGTCCCACATTTTTTTTTGCACTCTTTCTTCAAGATGGCAGACTTGTACTTAGGTGGATCAGTCAAGTTGTTGTTGACTTTTTTTTATAGCAGTGATGAACTCCTGATTTGGTTTTTTTTATTAAATGCACGTGATAGAAGAGGCATTTGTAGTCACGAGCTGTGAATATTGCGTCTTAGTGAAGAGAAAATAATTTTTCACAACCAATTTTGCAATATGTTTCTATAGTGGACACCATGCAAGATGGGAACGCACCTGTGGGGCCTCCAATACGCGCATGGGCCTATTGGTATACAACTAAAGTGGAAAAAGAAAGTTTTGATTCACCTCACTGGGTAGCGCCTTGGTCCCACGCTTTTTTCTGCACTTTTGTTCAATCAGGTAGACTCCAGCTTTGGCGAGTACTTCAAGCTCCTCACTTTTTTTTTTTCTTATAAGAGCAGTGAAATCGTGATTTGGTATGTTTTGTTGAATGAACGCTAAAAGAAGGTCTTGTAGCAATGAGCTGTAAATACTAAGGCTTAGTGAAATGAAAGCAATTTTTCAACAAATTAAACCACCCAGCCCCCCCCCCCCCCCCGCCCCTTAGCCTTCCTCTACTCGACAAAAAAATTTCTCGCTACTCTCGTGTTGGAACAGCTAATTTTGTGTGTTCATTTTTGTGAGCAAGACTGCTTGACAGCTTAAAAAAAACTTTTTGCAACTTTCACTAATTGAAGCTCTTGTGCATGTTGTTCATTCAATGTATTGTACATTCTGTTTCTTATGAAATAAAAGTTTGACTTCGAGAAAAATTTTTTTTGTGCCGTTTCTGAAGGCAAAATAACAGATAACCAAATGTAGGTGCCGCTTACATGCACAGGTTCTCGCAATGCAACAAAGGCCTACATTTATTGATACATGCAGTTGAGCATGCATGAGCAAATGTAATCAGCGTCACAAATGCTGGGGCGCGGTGCATTTGTATGTTTATGTTTTCATGAATATTGCAATGAAAAAAGAATTGATGTATGGCCCAGTGAACAATACACTCGCTTTCTCAGCATGGGATTCCGACTGCCAAGAAAATTTATTTAGTTTCATTTATTTACTTACGCTGGCAAATCACCATATATTCGACAGAGGGACGGATGGATGATTTTCTCGTTGAGTCATCAGAGAAACGCATTGATAAACAGCTTTGCGTTCATCATTCATTCACGCCAAGGATGTTCTTGGTACTTAAAGCCATGTACACATTTTCATTCGGGTGCATAAAAATACTATTGCATGACAAGCGTGTCATGTAACAACATGACTACATGCCACGCTCATGACGCGCTGGCGGCCGTTTAGCTAGCTTCACTTACACCAATTTTTTTTTATTACGGGACGTGAAATAATGACGGAGGGTATGATACTGGTGCAAACATGATGAACATGAGATGCGTGTCATGTAACAACATCACATGCTACGCTCATGATGCGCTCGCAGCCGTTTCACTAGCTTCACATGTACCAAACTTGGTATTACACGAAACGAACGGGCAACACAGGTAAATGACACATCCAAACACGATAATCACGACATGCGTGTCATGTAACAACATGACTACATGCCACACTAGTGATGCGCTAGCGGCCGTTTCGCTAGCTTCACATATGTCAAATTTGGTATCACGTGACGTCAATGGATGATAAATCTACCTGACTGGTCCAAACATAATGATCATGAGATGCGTGTCATGTGAGAGCATGACTACATGCCACAGTCAAGGCGCCAATACATTTCGACGTGACATGTTGCACTTGCTCGCCGGTGTTCACTTTGTGGCGTCACGCCGGCGTTGCCACGGCTGGCACCTATCCTGCCATATACTCGCAGGCGCGCGCCGCGCTGCATTGCTTTGACGCATGCGCGTTTCAGCGCGTCTGGCGTCCCTCCGTCACGGAAAGAGGGAGACGCAGTGTTGTATGGGTAACGCATCGGCGTGACGACATAATGCATTTCGGTTCGTCGGCTGGTTGCGCCGGTCGAGCCTGGCGTCAGACTAAAGAGTGCTCGCGTTTTACTAACGTAGCGTCGCTGTGCCAAGCGTACGCGCGCGTCAATGCTACATTGGAGTATATTGGGCCCTTCATGATCCACTCGCGGCCGTTTTTCTAGCTCCACATATACCAAATTTGGTGTTACGTGACGTAAAAAAATGATAAAAGCAATGACTGGTGCAAACATGATAATACTGACACGCATGTCATGTAAGAACATGATAGCATACCACGCTCATAGAGTGCTCGCGGCCGTTGCGCAAGCTTCACATTTACTAAATTTGGTATCACGTGACGTGAATAGATGACGAAGGTAAACGACACATCCAAACATGATAATTATGACACGAAAGTCATACATGGCATAATTTATCTTCAACTCGTAACGTTTTGCTGATTTTGAAGTGACATATGAACATTTCTCATTCGTGCTTCGTATATCATCGATTCCCACTGTACGTGCGATCTGCCAACTTTTTTTCCGAGCAATGGAAGGCGCGGAAGAAAACAATATACTGAGATAAACAATGACCAGAGCTAGATAATCCATTCATGCCTCGCACAATGCAAGGTCCTCCCAAAAACGGTGGCGTCGGAGGTGCCATCATTTTTCTCGAGCAGGCAGTGCGTCTCCCCGAGCCGTCCGTCTCGATAAAGCACGCACTGTTTCCATTCCGGTCCGAAAATGCCCCACGTGGACTGAGCTGACGAGGAGGGGCGGCAGTTGGTGGAATGTAGTAACACCCGCTCTTCGCGAGCTTGCGTGATGGATCGGCGCGATGACGGAAGAAGGGCCGACGCTCCCAGTCGAGGAAAGTAAGCTCTCGCCTTGCGACAGCGCCGAGTCCCGGCGAACCAGGTATTCTCTAGAAGGATTGACGGTCGGGTGAGTTGGTGAATCATTATGAAAATTTGTGCGGGAAAAACATGGGAGAAGTCGAAGGAAACTACAGGAGAAGCGCATACGGACAAGTCAACTTTTATTTAAGGAAACATATATGTAGGAGGTAGACCCATATGCTCACTGCGAACAAAACCAAAAAAAAAAATCACAGCACATCCACGGAGTGAATCATGATGAGTCGGGTGAACGTCTGTCCATCCGCGTGTCCATGCATCCGTGCGTCCGTGTTGACGGATGGACGTACGGACAGACGGATGGACGGACCGACGGTGGCATGGACGGACGCGCAGACGGACGGAAGCATGCATGGCCGGATGGACGGACTCCCGCACAGACGGATGGAAGCATGTACGGACGGATGCACAGATGAACAGAAACACAGACCGACAGACAGACTGACGGATGGAAGCACGGATAGGGGAATGGAGAAACTGACGAACGGAAGCAAGTACGGAGATACGGACGGCGGGCGCATGGACAGACGAACGGAAGCACGAACGAATGGACGGATGGACGAATGAACGCACGTATGGACGGACGGTTGGACAGACAGCATTCACGGGTAGACAGACAGACGGACGCATGGGCGGACTTACGGGCGTACGGACAGAAGCACGGACGCATGGGCGAACGTATGGACGCGCGAGCGGTTGGACACACGGACGGGTGAAAGGATGCTTCACCCCACTCATCATCGTTTACTCCATGGGTATGCTGGGAAAGCCACTTACGCCATCTGTTTATATTATTCCCAAGGACATATACACACAACTTCATCTATCGAGGAAGTCGTAAACTAGAGGTGGCTATATACTACTTACGAAGGAGGAAACAGCCCACTACCTAAGGAGCGTCGCCCCTAAATACTGTCTCTTGCGTTTAAAAAGACAGAGAAAAGGTGTCTAGGGCACACCCAAGGTTTTTGTTTTTGTTGGCAATAAACATGTAGTTCTGCTTTGTAGATAAATCAGTTTTCCCTATAAGATATTAAAATTTAACTTAGTTTGCGATTGCCCTGTATTTTTGTTCATCCTGTGCTACATTTTTTTTCGTGCTATTTTTTATCATATTTCTTTAGAACGAGGGCGGGTGCTTTGCGGTTAACAAAACTTTGGACTTAAGTCTCCTTTGTCCTCGGTGACGGTGACTCATATGGCCTCTGCGTTTTTTTTTCTTTTCCTCTTTTTTTTCTTTTGTTGCACGCCATGTTGCAGTTCCATATGGGCGTTGTTGTTGATGTGCTTTCTTCTTTCAAATAGCAGCCAAGATAAAAGTGCATCTATGATAGTCGAAATCCAATACACGGTGGTATAAAAGAGTAAGTGTTCACTTAAATGAAAATCTTTGCATGTTGTGCCTATAGTGATCCGGAAGAGTTGAATTTTGTTGTGGAAAGCTATACGATTAAGGCCTTCCCTGGAACGTTGCTTTTGGGTGGCATGAACACGACGGCTTGAAGTGTTTTTTTTTTCTTCTATAGCGTTCATCAGCATGTAAAAAGGCCCACTAGATGTCGCGTTCAATGACCACTGAAGGGAATGTTTGGCATTAAATTTTCACAGTGGAAGCTTTTCTCACTGTGTGTAAAATACACCGTACTTTCTTAGAGAGGCCGTTTGTTCCACCACCTTGAGATACCTCAACGAAACATTACAGTGAGACCACGAGGTCTTTTTTTATTTGTTTTGTACTGTTGGCACAACGCATTCATATGGTTAAGGTATATGAACAATATTTTTCATTTTTTTCTGATCATACAAATGTTAAACGAATTTTTTTCTGCCCGTTAGGAACGCGCCTGCGCGTGGTGTGGCGGCTCATAGTCGCTACATTGCATTTCGTGAGAATGCCTAATCCAACCACGAAATTTTGGCGCCTTTTTAGGTCAGTACAATATCTCTAATAATTTCGAGCAATAGGAGCTCTGACGCGGAGGTGCATCTTGTGCTCCAGGGTCACGTGAAACCGGGGGAGCGTCTTTTTCCTCTCCTCGAGCTCTCCTGCTCAACCAATACTAAAACCAGCTCTCAAAGCAACAATATCGGCTGGTTGCATTTTTATTTCTTTCCTCTCTATTCTCTCCGCGTTGCAGAACTGACATTCCACCCCCTCCTGAACGAGACCGTTTTCACGGTTCAGATTCTCTACGATGAAGCCAAGGAGCACAAGGAGGCCTTTACGCTCCACCTCAAGGGAGACGCCAAGCGCATAGCCAACGTGAAGGTAACGTGGCGTGCACTGTTGCTATATGGCATAATTCACTTTTCGGTAGCGCACGAAGGAACAAAACATGGAGGAAGATGGCGGGACGAGCGCTCAGCTCACCAGCTTTCAGTCCTGCTGCATTGTATGACAATGTTCGCGCAGTATGGCGCCGAAATTCCACATAGACTGTTAGTGAATAAAGACTGTCCCGCTCGTTTCTTTCATCGTCTGTATCATCGTACTTCACGTAATGCTAGAAGCACTGGCGAGAATATATTTATTTTTTATTGATTTTATTTGTTTCACAATACATGATTGCCGTGGTGTAGAAGACGAAAGGCGACATTATGAGTCACCTGACTAGGCATCTAGCACCACACCATACATTATTCGCACAGAGCGATTGCATTGGAAAAAAAAAAGAAACATAGGAAGACAATCACCTTGGGGAGGACTGGGAGAAAGCTTATACAAAATAAAGATTACAACAAGGCTTCGACACTGCATTAGATTTCATACACGTATCATTGCAAGGCACATAAAAGAAGAGAAAAGGAGGGTAAATAGTGGTGCGAACACCAAGCTTTCCTGAGAGATCATAAACACAGGCTTTCGTACATATATAGTCACAAGAGTGTATACATATATAAAACTTTATGCATACGCATATAGTAGAATTATGTAACTAAGCGCACTCATAGATGTATGTGCTCTAAGTGCATCTTCGAATTATTTTTTGATGGATGGTATTGAATAAGCCTGGACTATCACGGATAGTACTTGGGGTTGACTGCTGAGTAGATTGGGGATTTGCCATTTTAAGAGTTGATGACCATAGGTAGTTCTAGTTCTTGGTTTTAAAAAAAATATGCTTTAATCGAATTTGCTATATTTAATATACTTTTAAACCTAATTCGCAAAAGCTCTAGACAGATAATTCATAACGGGGCGTGAATGGATGACAAAGGTATGATACTGGTGCAACCATAACAACCGTAAAATGCGTGTCAGGTAACAACATGACTACATGCTGTGCTCATGATGCACTCGGGGCCGTTTCGCTAGCTTCACATGTACCAAACTCAGTATTACGCGACGCGAATGGATGACGAAGGTATGTGACTGGTGCAAACATAATAATCATGAGACGCGTATCTTGAGAGAACATCACTACATGCCACAGTGAAGGCGCCAATACATTTCGACCTGACACGGTGCGCGTGCTCGCCGGCGTTCATTTAGTCGCGTCATGCTGAAGTCATTCCATCGTTTGCGTCATGCCGACGTCATTTCGTCGCGTCATGCCGACGCCAGGCGACAGTCCTGCCACATACTCGCAGGCGCCCGCCACGCTGCGTTGCTTTGACGCATGCTCGTTTTAGCCCGTCCGGCGTGCCTCCGTCACGAAAAGAGGGAGACGCAGTGTTGTCTGGGTAATGCATCGACGTGAAATGCAGCATGTCGCATTTCGCGCTGGTTGCCATCGGGCAGCGCCGACGGACGCTAGTCGAGCCTGGCGTCAGACTATCTCGCGTTTTGCTAATGTAGCGTTGCTACGTTATATATTGGGCCTTTAATGATGCGCTCGCGGCCGTTTTTCTAGCTCCACATATACCAAAGTTGGTGTTATGTGAAGTCAATAGATGACGAAATATATTACTGGTGCAAACATGATAATCCTGACACGTGTGTCATATAAGAACATGACAATATACCAAGCGCATAGCGTGCTAGCAGCCGTTTCGCAAGCTCTACATATACTAAATTTGGTTTCACGTGACGTGAATAGGTGACGCAGGTAAACGACACATCCAAAGATGCTAATCATGACAAGGAAGTCATTACAGCATCATTTACCTCCGCCTCGTAACTTTGTGCTGATTTTAAAGTGACATATCCACATTTCTCATTCATGCTTCGCATATCATCGATTTCCCGCTGTACGTGTGATCTACCAATTTTTTATTTCTTTTCTCTCTATTCTCTCCGCGTTGCAGAATTGACATTCCACCCCCTCCTGAACGAGACCATTTTCACGGTTCAGATTTTCTACGATGAAGCCAAGGAGCACAAGGAGGCCTTTACGCTCCACCTCAAGGGAGACCGCTATAGCTGCTGCAAATTATTGACGCAGCATTGCATCAACTCTACTGAATAGCATATAAACTCCGGCTAGAGGGCAACTGGACTCAACACACAGGACAAAAAACAGATGAGGACAGGCGCAAACTACCAACTGGATTTATTCAAGGAAGATTCACACTTTTATACATGAACACCCTGCGCAGGAGCACTGCCACAAGAACCAAGAAAATTCAAACAAGGTGAGAAAGAAACAAAAATTCAGCCTTGTGCACCACAGCGGAGGTTTCACTCATGCGCTTGTCATCCACTTTTTTAATAAAAAAGTTTTTAGCTTTTTGCCAGTCGTTTTATTTATACTTCTTCCTAGGATTTCAGCACAGCCAAATTGTGGTTCACAATGCGGGCGAATCAAGCAGTGGTCAACAAGGTGACTTCTCCTCTCATTATTAAGATTGCTCTCGTGTTTCCCGAGTCGGTCATCGAGGCAGCGCCCTATCTATCCGATGTAAGCTTGGCCACAGGACAGAGGAATCTCGTTCACGGTGTCGTTGGCACACATTACGAAACGTTTTTCGAGGTTATTTACGCCGCTCTTTTTTTTTTTTTTGCTTGACACATGTAGTGCTCCAGCTCACCTGAGCGAGCTTCTTCGGGGCCGAATAAACCAACGGCACGTTGAACCGACTAGCCACTTTTTTTCAGGCTGTGTGTGAGCGTGTGCATGTACGAGACCACAGCTGGCCTTTGTCATTCCACCACGGACTTGGCGAGATCTTTTGAGTCGCCGTACTTCATCTTCTTGAGAAGCGTCTTGACAACAGACACGATGACCGACCCATGGAAGCGAGCTCCTTGTATCGGTCCTTGCAATACAAAGTCTACAGACACATACCACCGGGGAAGAATAAGCAAAAGGAAGGATAGTCTTGACGTTCTTTCCTTTCGTCTATGGTAAACTCGAGTAAACTTGTGCTCTTTTTTTAGGGAGGGGAGGGGGGGCTTCTACACAAAAGTCATACCACTTTTAACGGCCGTGTAGTGTGACAATTATTTTCTCCTGGCAACTCTGGTTCGCAGGACTCCAAGATGATCGTGTACATCGAGGACGTGCGCTTCCTGCCGGCGGTGACGTTCCCCTCTGAGCCGGTGGTGGTGTCCCTGCGAGACTACGACGACGCTGACGCAGCGTCGCCACAGCCAATCCACGGATATCCGCTCAGCTGCATATCGGTGCGCATTCCTTGAGCGTCGCGTTGGAGCAAGCCTTTCGGTGAAACTTCAGTTGTCGTAAAACATGAAAAGCTTATGTTCGCCTGAATATGGGCTAGCTCTAAATAATCTTTTTTCGTTCTTTTCTTAGTTCATTGTTCCCGGAATTCGGACAAGTTTCTAAATGTACAAGTATACATGTGGAGTGACCTAAATTGTCATGCAATTGCGTTTGGTGTACTGTAAATACAAAACTGCAACTTCTTAAAACATCTATAAAACAAAGTACCAAACTTTAAACTCATGTTCAACATTGATCACATCGAAGGAAAATAAACATTGTGTAGGTGGCAAAATTATAATGCACTAGCTAACCTGAGCCCACCGCAAGCACATGAAGTTATGCGGTAAATATGCATGGTGCTCATAGAGTGAAACATAGCATTAAAGCTTTGAACACAAGTGGTGCGTGCAACTTCTCGCAATAACCGTGCCATATGCCACAGCGAGTATGGCCAGTAAAGGTGATGCTCGCTCTCGTGAATGAGACAATATTACACCTGTCTTATGCAAACTGGAAACAGTGCAAATGTAAGCGAGTTCACTACTTGGCCTTTAAGGCAGCGAGCAGTGTACTTACTTTCCCAGATTCACAGCGTGTATGATTGTGCAGAAACTGCGTCATGGGAAATTCGCAACGTTAAGCACTGTTTGAAATGAAAACGAGTTCTCTACATAAGACTGTTCGCCCTTTGTGGCCACAGCAGGCCCGTAGCCGGGTGTTCTTTTTTCGATGGAGTGGGGCGGGGGCCTTAAAAACTTTCAATAATACCTACTTTTATTATTTGACCACGGTAAAACACCCCCCCCCCCCTTCATCCGAATTTTGGAGGGGTGTTTCACTTTGCCCCACCGCGCTGGTTTAGTACATGGCTAAGGTACTCGGCTGCTGACCGGCAGGTCACGGCATCGAATCTCGGCTGCGGCGGCTGGATTTTTGATGGAGGCGAAAATGCTGTAGGCCAGCGTGCTTAAATTTCGGTGCACATTAAAGAACTACTCCCAGTGGTCGAAATTTCCGGAGCCCTCCACTGCGGCATGTCATATGCGTATTGTGGTTTTGTGGTTTTGGTACAGTAAACCCCACATATCTATGTAAGAAAAAATATAGACAGCCCAAACGCCGACTAATAACGGAAGAGGCGCAATACGACGAAAAAAGTAATATAGGTAAACTTTCTCCGCATGCTCACGAAATAGGCGAACGTATCAATTCGGCATGTGTGGCAGTCTATGAGAAAGATGACTGTTAATGGCGTTTCATTTTATATTGTTTTTAAGTTAATAAATGGTTGGCTCACACATGCGCTAGTACTATTATCAATATACTATGCCTCAACCCCTAGTCACGTTTTTTTTGTCATTCTTATATCGATACAAAACTGCGCATTCATCAAATTTTGACGTGCAGTTACACATTAGACAAGCTACAGTGTGCCCGCGTCTGCAGGCGCCGTCTAATATAATGACTGCTTTAAGGTGTACGTGCGTCCAACAGCGCAGTGCAAGCACGCGTACGCAGCCTTCTGAGCAGCTAAACTTACAGACAACGCCCTTCAGTGGCTGCGACTTGTATGGATCTCTTAGCCGTGACTTGACTTCGCCCATGAAGGTGACCCAGCATGGCTTGGGAACTCCCGCTTCAGTTTCTGTGTCTAGCCTCAACATCAACGCAACACTCCATGACTGACTCGAATCCCGCGAATGCTCACTTGCAGATTGCCATTTTCTTGTGCCCCGAAACCTCTTGGGTGCCAAGTTCTAAGGCTGCTCAAATGAATACGTGCCAAGAAAAGGAACGCGTGGTCAAGGACGGTAGCTTATGTGGCGGTATGATAAATTCAGGCATAATAAGCTGGAATCAGATAGTGCGAAATAGGGGCGATTGCAGATAGTTGAATGGAGCCTTCGTCGGGCATTGAACATAAAATTAGATTGCTTAAGCTAAAGGTCTTGTTAAAATAAATGATAGCATTGCGAAAGATTTGTGTGCGTTTTCCTTTCACCTTAACAATATTTCATTCACTGTAATTCCACCCTTGCTGTGGTCCCTATACTTCATAACTTGCATGAATGAATGAATGAATGAATGAATGAATGAATGAATGAATGAATGAATGAATGAATGAATGAATGAATGGACGAACGAATGGAAGCAATAGCTACAAGGCAGTGGCACCAAATATTTTTCCACCTTTTCTACTATACCGAGCTATGAGCATGCAGTTGGTATTGTAACGGTGTTGTTTACCAATAAAGTGTAAGTCCTTTTTTTTATTTTTGGGGCCCCTTCATATCCCCCGGTGACATCAGCGCATTGTGCGATCCGCAAGTGGGTAACTGCATGGCTCATCGCGGCAGGTGGTGAGTATATCTCGAATAAGTCATTTCGGTTTTTAATTTCAACAGTCGTGCAACCCCAAACATCCGGACTACGTGCGCACGGGGCCTATTTGCGCCAAGGAAGGCATCAATGACAGCTTCACGGAGTTCCACTGGAAAGTGGCCGCACCGGACGACTCGTCCGTCCTGCTGCGAGATATCCGGTCAAAGACCTTCTTCGCTCCCATCAAATCGATCACGCTGGACAGCGTCTATTTTTCGGCGGGTAAGTTCACACAACAATGTATCCGGGAAGTACCGTATACCACAGTACCCAGGAGCAAACTGAATGTGTATTTTCGCCGAATTCTTGCATATTGATTGTCCCCATCACGTGAGCCTATCAAGCTGGCACGAAAAACGGGACTGACCACTTATTACATTGGCCTGAATACTTGAACATTCATTGAGAACGTGTTTCTCGAACTACGCGCTAATTTATATACTGCTTCAACACGTCGCCATTGCAGTAGATATGGCACTAACACATCTATACTGCAATCGGGACATTGGGTTGCGTGAATGTGCGATTTTTTTTTTTTTTTTGCCAGCTGCAGCACTTTATAAGCCTTCTCTCTTTTTGCCTGTTTATTCACGTGCAGTGCGCAATGACGTCAAATTGTTTTAGACGATGCAGACAGAAGCGCAGTATACAGTACGAAGGCCCGACCATTCGTACGCGTTGTAGCGTGTCAGTGCATGGCGTCTCTCCATTTAGGGAGAGGGTGTCTGCTAAAGGGAGTCGTCTCCGTGGGGAGGGCGCCTGCACTCAACAAGCCTGCTCGCTGGACGATTCTTGGCTTTGTTATTCACACAGGAAGCCGAGTGCAGTGTGCCACGCGTGCCGTCAACACCGATGGCGACGTGGGCCTCGAGGTCTACAGCACACCGGTCACTGTGGCCTTGGACGCCGGCCTGTGTAGGCCGCCCGAGGACAACTACGTAGGCGCTGAGCCTTTCACTGCCAGGCTGAGATACACGGGTAAGTTTTGAGATTCCTCATATGTAACGGTTTCCGAGATCATTTTTTCCGGATGTGTGACAGCTTCTTAGATTCACGCTTCACGAGTGACAAATTTGGCCTTCTACAGGCATCACTATATACGTACGTATGCCTTCGTGTTTTACGTACGGAGCACTTTAGCGGCCGGGGCTCTCGTACGGTGTCGCGTGCATATCTTGATCGTGTGCTGTCGTCGTCGCTTGGCGTCACGCATGCAGCACCACGTGTATAGCATAGCCATGTCTAGCATCGTGAGCCCCGAGCGGAAGTCACTTCTTCTTTGAGTGCCTTGACTTCAAGGGCCCGGGCTGTCGTGTGCTGCAAGATTACGCATGCAAGATTACGCATGAAACAGAAGAACTAAGGCAAACTAGTGATAAGAAGGAGATAAAAAGTACAAAAAAATAATGCAGGAACCAAAAGGGCGACAAAATGAGGAGCAGATAAACGAAAGACGCTTCGCACTTCTTTCAGTTGCCTTGATATTTTGTTTTTGCAAATTGCCTTTTAGTGACGCATTAGCAATAAGAAAAGAATCTTGTATCAGATATAGTTTGTGATACGCTTTTGGCCACCTGCTGTACCTGTTCTGCAACAAAATACCTTGCTGAATGTGTGATTGAGCGTGAGGTACCGACAGCACAGCAGTGCGCGCAGTACCGTTTGGATACGTTACATTGACGGTTACGTTGCGGCAGCGGCAGGTGAACGACAGCCTTTGCTGGCTACAGAGAAATTGAAATTGTTTATTTGCCGTTTTTAGGAAGTACAGGTAGGGTAATGGTGGAAATAAAGATGTCCTCGGACAGTTTGACTAGCCTGTATACAGTTAACCCTTTCCTTTTAAATGGCAGTGAGGCTATAATACATTTATACACTTATAGGTCGTACGTGGTTACGCAATATATATATATATATATATATATATATATATATATATATATATATATATATATATATATATATGTGTGTGTGTGTGTGTGTGTGTGTGTGTGTGTGTGTGTGTGTGTGTGTGTGTGTGTGTGTGTGTGTGTGTGAAAACAAGAAAAAGTGCGCATGCATTTAAAATGCGTTGTTGAAAGTATCACGGACGCTTGTCCTTTCAACACGTCCAGATCCTCCTCATTGACATTTTGATACCTAGGAAAGTACTTTAAGAGTTAGGAACCTAATTATGGGTGATTGATTTATTCTCAATAACTAAAAAAACTAGGAGCGCTTACTATGGTATACTGGGAACAATGTGCACTAGGTCTGCTTCGTGCAACGCCGTTTCCTCCTCTTTTTTTAAATCATGTTGCGGGATAGCTGAGAATCCCTGTATATACGACATCGACGCATCACCGGTGCTCCCATCTGAACACGCTATCGTGCAGGCACGTCCGATCTGCGGACGCCGAATCGGATTCAGATAACGGTTCTGGTTCCACACCGGGATGGCCTGCTGCCTGCCATCTCGACGAGGCCCCTGTCCAACTTCGAGTTCGCCCTCAGCCCGAATAGCCTGCGCACGGGGCTACACCGGTGCTCGAACCTGGTGGACGCCCCGGAAGCGTTCACTCCTCTGGGGTTCGTCACCAACGCGACGACGCTCGATGGGCGTCTAGCGGCGGCCGAAGCGGCTGAGCCGTACCAGTACAGCGCCCAGATGCGAGGACAGTCGACGCTCAGGTGAGCAGCGATTCGGCACAACGTCGAACTCAAATGCGCACATAGCGCGTCTCGAGGTACATCAGTTGTAATGTGACTCAACATCTCGTGTCAGAGCAGGAGATAGACTGAGGAACTCGAGCACGCCTTTACACCTGCGTCCGTGTGCTTCAAATATAAAGTGCGTGAAAAAAAAATCGCAGATCTGTGGAAATCTAGTTCAAGTGAATTGGTCAGTTATGAACTGGTCAGTTATTTATTATTATTATTATTATTATTATTATTATTGTAGTGGAGCATACGCACTAACGTGTATGCGCCTTCCAAAGAGAAGGAAAAACCCCGTGCTCTGATTGCACGAGAACCTGGGCCGCCTTTTGCCAGACTTGTCGTACGGCCATTTTTCGTTGCGACATCGTTGCGACTTCTCCGGTTCAATAAACGTCATCACATTTGGTGGAGGCTGCTGAGATCCCCAAGCAGACCTGGAGCTCCGCTCTCGCAAGTTGCCCGAGAGACCACTGCAAAACATGACTGACGCAGTCGCCAACCAGCCCATCCCAGCCCAGCCAGCACCACCGGCTGTCCCGTCTACCTGCCCCGGCGCTACTCGCCAACGGGACCCACCAATCTTCAGCGGCAGTGGCAAGCAAGACGTCGAGGACTGGCTCTCCTTGTACGAACGCGTAAGCGCCAGTAACAAGTGGGACAACGACTCTAAGCTCGCCTACGTTATATTTTACTTGGCAGACGTAGCTAAACTTTGGTTTACGAACCGCGAAACCGCCATCGCCAACTGGTCTTCCTTTAAGACACTCGTCACTGAAGCGTTCGGCCGACCAGAGGTCCGCAAGCTCCGCGCTGACCAGCGCCTGCGCCACCGAGCCCAGCAGCCTGGTGAGACGTTTATTAGTTACATAGAGGACGTGCTCGACCTCTGCAAGCGTGTGAATCCATCTATGTCCGAAGAAGAAAAAATTCGGCAGATTCTCAAGGGCATCGAGGATGGCGCATTCCAGATGTTGCTAGCGAAAATCCCGAACACGGTGGCAATCCTCGTAAGCCTCTGCCAGAGCTTTGATGAATTGCGCCGTCAGCGTTCCATCGCCCGACAGAGTGTCCTACCGCCGGATTCGATCTCGGCCGTCACACTCACAAATGCCAACGTTTGCAAAGAAAGTCTGTCCAACCAGATCAAAGACTTCATCAGGGAGGAAGTCGCCCGACAGCTCTCCCTGCTGCCGCATAGCGACGCGCCCACCGCAAGCCTGCCTACGACACTGCAGCAGGCCATACGCACGGAAATTTGTGATGTCCTCCCTACAGTGCAGGCCCCTTACCCGTGCACTTCAGTAGCGCCTAATCTCTCAGCTGTCGGCTACGCACCACCTGCACCACCTTCACCTCTCAGCTACGCAGCTGTGGTCGTGCGGCCCCCACCGCATCCAGTCGCCTTATCAGCTCCACCTCCTCCGGCCTCGCCTCCAGTTTACAGGCCCTCACCTCGCTTTTTCCATCGATCTAATGAGTGGCGCACTCAAGACAATCGTCCTATCTGCTTCGCCTGTGGCATCGCTGGCCACATTGCACGCTTCTGCCGCCGTCGCCCCACACCTGCAAACGCATACTTCGGAACTCCTACCTACGCGCCGCAGCAGGCCACCGCATCTGCATATGAACAGAGGCACTCAGACTCGGATCGCCGCCCATCGACTGCTCGTTTCCCATCCCCTCGTCGCCGGTCGCCATCGCCTATGCGTCGTCGACCACCTCCTGAGGAGGGAAACTAATCAGTGCAGTTCCGGAGGCAAGAACTGCAACTTGTGCGCAATTCCCAAGGCCTCCGTTTTCGCCGAAAAATGTTGTTGATGTCGATGTTGAGGGAGTCGCCACATTAGCGTTAATTGATACCGGGGCCGCCGTTTCTGTGATGGACGTCAAATTTTGTCGGAAACTGAAGAAAGTGACCACATCTCTCTGTGGCATGGTGCTGTCCACGGCTAGCGCGCAACGCATTCATCCCTCGGCTCTGTGTACGGCGCGCGTCGTCATCCAAGATGTTTTGTACGTCGTACAGTTTTTTGTTCTGCCATCTTGCTCTCATGACCTTATCCTCGGTTGGGATTTCTTATCAGGTCATGAAGCTATCATCGATTGTTCCCGTGCCGAAGTGTCCCTTGTGCCAACATATGAATTTCCACCACCCGACCGGTCTCCTCGGCTCTGCAAACTCATCGCTGACGACGACATCACCTTGCCCCCGGAAGCTTCGGTCCCTGTAAGCCTTTCATGTGTGGCGCAACCTGACGCCACGGTGGTGTTTACGCCATCTCCTGTTTTTACTGAACGCAAGGGCATCGTTCTCCCATTTGCCGTTCTTACAATTGCATCTGGTTTAACCGTAATGCTGGTTACCAACCACTGCAACTACCCCATCAGCTTACTTCGTGGTGAAACGTTGGGATATGTGCAACCTGTCGACCATATCGATGATATTATTCTTCCCGACGAAACGCCATGTCACATTGCCGCAATAACTCATGCGTCTGAGCCATCAAGTTTGTCAGCCTTCGACAATGCTATTGACGCAGACCTTCCCCTCTCGCATCGCCGCCAACTTGTTGCTCTCCTTAACAAGTTTCGCTCTTCTTTCGACTTTCAAGAACCTGCTTTGGGCCGCACCACGACTATCACTCATACTATTGACACCGGCTCACATTTGCCTCTGCGACAGCGTCCTTACCGCGTTTCCGCCGAAGAGCGCCGCGTCATTACGGAGCAAGTAGACGACATGCTTAAACGTGGAGTGATACAGCCTTCTCAAAGCGCTTGGTCATCACCTGTCGTTCTGGTCAAGAAAAAAGATGGCACCGTTCGATTTTGCGTGGACTATCGCCGCTTAAACAAGATTACGAAGAAAGATGTCTACCCGCTACCACGAATAGACGATGCTCTTGACTGTTTACAAGGCGCCGAGTACTTTACATCCCTGGATCTGCGTTCTGGGTATTGGCAGGTGCCAATGGCTGAATGTGATCGCCCTAAAACAGCCTTTGTAACGCCAGATGGTCTATATGAGTTCAAAGTGATGCCATTTGGGCTCTGCAACGCACCTGCCACATTTCAGCGCATGATCGATACCATCTTGCGTGCCCATAAGTGGAAAACTTGCTTGTGTTACCTGGACGACATCGTAGTCTTTTCGTCTGATTTCCCGACACATCTTGTTCGCCTCCACGAGATTCTGACGTGTCTAACTTCTGCGGGCCTACAACTTAACTCCAAAAAGTGCCACTTCGCAGCACGAAAACTAACCATCTTGGGACATGTCATCACAAGAGACGGTGTTCTTCCGGATCCCGATAAGCTTCGGGCTGTCGCTGACTTCCCGTTGCCCACATCACTGAAAGCTCTAAGAAGTTTCGTCGGTCTCTGCTCGTACTTTCGTCGCTTTGTGCCCAACTTCGCGTCCATCATCGCACCTCTAACAAGTCTGCTCTCCAACAGCAAAGGTATATCTGCATGGTCACCTGCATGTGACGACGCATTTCGCCAGCTGCGCCGCCTGCTGACCTCACCACCCATTCTTCGTCACTACGACCCCGCTGCTGCCACAGAAATTCACACCGATGCAAGTGGCATCGGTCTTGGTGCAGTTTTGGCACAACGGAAAGGCACCCAAGCTGAATACGTAGTCGCCTATGCAAGTCGCGCTCTCAAGAAGGCTGAATTGAATTACTCCGTGACAGAGAAGGAGTGTTTGGCCATAATCTGGGCCTTGACGAAGTTTCGCCCGTACCTTTACGGCCGCCCTTTCGACGTGGTCACAGACCACCACGCTCTATGTTGGCTGTCCACATTGAAAGACCCGTCCGGACGCCTGGGACGTTGGGCACTTCGATTGCAAGAATACGACATCCGTGTAGTATATCGTTCCGGTCGCAAGCATGCAGATGCCGATGCACTTTCGCGATCACCTTTGACCCCAGATGTGGCTTCTCTGTCACCACTTTTTACCACCTTGTCACCAATAGACACCACTGACATGCTTTCGGAGCAGCGTAAAGATCCATACCTTGCATTGTTACTCGACTACCTTACCGATCCGTCTGCTGTCCCTTCCACGAGAGTGCTACGCCGACAAGCAGCCCACTTTTCCGTGCGAGACAGCATTCTGTACCGCCGCAACTACATGCCTGGTGGTCGGAAGTGGCTCCTTGCTGTCCCAACTCATATGCGCTCTGACATCTGCATGAATTTCCATGCAGACCCTCAAAGTGCTCACGCAGGTGTCCTGAAAACCTACGAAAGGCTGCGCCAACGATATTACTGGCGAGGAATGTATCGCTTTGTGCAAAAATACGTTCAGTCTTGCACCACTTGCCAACAGAACAAGACACCTCCACGGCACCTTACTGGCATGTTACAGCCGCTCCCATGCCCGGCTCGCCCATTCGACCGCGTGGGTATCGATCTCTATGGCCCCCTCCCATATAGTCGCTCTGGAAACCGGTGGATTATTGTCGGCGTCGATCATCTGACACGCTACGCTGAGACTGCAGCTCTACCAGCAGCGACCGCCCACGAAGTTGCACTCTTCATTCTCCGCAGCTTCATTCTCCGCCATGGGGCTCCACGGGAATTACTCAGTGATAGGGGTCGGGTGTTCCTGTCGGAGGTCATCCAAGCTATTCTCGCTGAATGCAACATCATCCACCGGAAATCTACCGCATACCATCCACAGACGAATGGTCTCACTGAACGGTTCAACCGCACACTTGGCGACATGCTGAGGATGTACACCTCCTCCGACCACACTAACTGGGACGCTGTCTTGCCTTTTGTTACCTTCGCTTACAACACCGCGACGCAAGCGACTACCGGTTTTTCCCCGTTCTTTCTGTTGTACGGCCGCGAACCATCCCACCCACTCGACACCATACTCCCGTACCGCCCTGATGTATCGGAGTGCTCCCCGCTTTCGGAAGTCACCAGATACGCTGAAGACTGCCGTCAGTTGGCTCGGTCTATGACAAGTGAGGCTCAAGGTCTACAAAAAACCCGGCATGATGACGCTCATCACATAGCGCCTACGTTTCGTACTGGCTCCCTCGTGTGGCTTTGGGTGCCCCCGCACGTTCCTGGCCTGTCTTCTAAACTTCTGGCCCGGTACCATGGTCCATACCGTGTCATTGACGCAACCTCACAGTGAATTACATCGTCGAGCCCCTAACACAATCGCCAGATTTGCGCCGTCGAGGACGCGAGACCGTACACGTCGACCGTCTGAAGCCCTACTACGACCCCCTCATTGTGCCTACTCCCTGAGTCGCCAGGATGGCTACTCTTCAACCCGGGGGGTATTGTAGTGGAGCATACGCACTAACGTGTATGCGCCTTCCAAAGAGAAGGAAAAACCCCGTGCTCTGATTGCACGAGAACCTGGGCCGCCTTTTGCCAGACTTGTCGTACGGCCATTTTCGTTGCGACATCGTTGCGACTTCTCCGGTTCAATAAACGTCATCACATCATTATTATTATTATTATTATTATTATTATTATTATTATTATTATTATTATTATTATTATTATTAAACATACCGCATTGAATACATTAGGAATGACTAGTTATACCAATAGGCAGGGAAGAGCAGCTCAGCGGACGCACTTAGAAACCACGACTTTATTTTTGTTTTGTTTTTTTCAGGACTCCCTCAGATCACTAAACCTATGATATTCCGACTCCCTCACATTCAAGCTCACCACAGCTTTAAATACGCTACTCTTATTCATTCGCACGCACCCCACAGCAGGAGGGTACAGGCTCGTGAGTGAGATGAGTCCATACGCTAAGCCTGTCGCTATTCGCGTCTGCTAGTGGTTCTGAACAGTGTGTGGCTTACCTACCCATTTCTTTTCATAATTTGCAGATTCTACAGGAGCTTAGATCTGGAGTCATGTATGTGGAACTGGACAGCTTTCTACACGCTGTCTGAGCTGGTTTCCGAGTGTGGAGGCTCTATTAACCACGATGGACAAGTAAGTCAAAGCTTCTTGCTTTCTCAATCGGTATGTGTCAACTTTTTCGCTTTATTTGCATCCATGCATGCACAGAAAAAATAAAACTAGCTTCGCACTATATTTGTGCTAAGCCTCAAGGAAAGGTGGTGCTAGGCAACCCTTTGTGTGGTTCTTTTTTTTCTCTCAGCTACCTGTATCTGCCCATTCTCATTTGTTTCTTTCTCTGCCTATTCCTTGTTCTTTCCCCTCTCTCTCTTTATTTAACGTATTCCTCTCTCTTTCTTGCTTTTTTTTCTTTCGTTTTGTGCCGTTCTTTTCATATTTCTTGTTTCTCGTTTTATGATATGCTTCACTCTCCGTTCTTGCTTTCTCTCCTCTCTCAGTTCCCTTTGCCTTGCTGCACTATACGATACAAGGTTCTGCTATGTTCTGCTAGCGTGCCTAAATAGACGAATGTGTGCGTGGATTATAAAGAATCCCCCTTCGCCAAGAAGTTTCTTCAACCAAGAATTCCTTTCGTTCTCTCCCGTGCGATCTCTTTGTGAGAGCAGCGTTTTGAGCAAGTTGGTATTTCACGATTTCAGTACCTAACAGCACATCTACCATTTACTTTGAAAACGCCCTCAATCACAACACTGTTTCCCTCGAATCGAGGGCGAAGAATAAGCGAGCCTCGATAAGCGGCCCCGAAGCGAAGTGTTAGATTAAGCGGTTGGTAACGGTGAGAGAAACAGTGTCGTCATTGAAGGCATTTACGAAGTGCACATGAATGGTAGATGCCCTCTTTCGTGCGTCGGTTTAGGTTCAGCCCCTTCAATTAGCCAGCTTTCATCGGAGGTGTGGGTGGCTTGCGCAGAATGTCTGGCCATTGCTTTCTGCTCCTCACGGGACGTCTTTACGCTCGCCCATAGTAGAGTACCTAGTACTTTAAATCGTTCACACCCACTTTTTCTAAACGCACATCGCTCCCACAGTTGATTATCATTGGCCGCCTTTTCAAAGTTTCCAAGTGACTATGAACTAATCGTAGGAAGGACTTTAATTCACTCTTCGGACCCGATCCAGCCTATTTGTACTGGTTAAAAAGGTAATTGTTTTAATTTCTGTAAATACTGTCGTAATTTATGTGTGTGCGCAGCTTAAAATTCCTTATCCCAAAGCAATAAGAACGCTGCAGGTAGCACGCAGATGCCTCCTTTCTTTAATTTTTTTAAGTAATATTGGACACATTTCTTGAAACACTCGGTATATAGCGCAAGCTTGAAAAATAATTCATCCGCATTTCTTGGAAAGAAAGCTTCTCAGCTGAAAAAATCGTCCTAGTTCGCGGACCGAACCCCAGACCAAAACCTTTCTGATATAGTAACTCCGGTTGACTCGATTTGCAATAATCAGTGTCCTATAAGTGCTTCGAACATTCGGTTAGTTCCCCCTGCACTGCCCTTGCGCGGCTGAAGTGGTAAAGCGAGCGCGGCCCCGAAAGGCCTTGGTGCCGGACTTCAATGCTTGCACTATATCTTTGGCTATAACTGCAGTGCATTTTTTCTGAGCAATCTGTTTGGATTCTCTTGCAGTCTTGGGCTATGAACATGTGTTGTCAGATTTCTCTTTCATAATCCTTGCGCCACCATGCAGCATTTCGCAAATTGCACTTGAAAGTACCGGGAACTTAAATTAAAAAAATAAATGCGGACTAGATACGCCAGCAAATCTATATCGCTGGTGCCAATGCGACAAAGCATAAGAGGATGTCATCTGGCATATCGGTGTCTAAAGGCCGCGATTATGTTATGGTTAAGGTTTGCGCAAGTTTCGTTGATTGTGCAATGAAGAGAAAACGGCGCTGAATTTTAATGGGGATGTGGTGATGATGATGTCAGAGGGAGGATAACACATTGTAATAGTCGTCCTGTGTGTCTTAACTTCCATGGCATAAATGTGCCCACATAACAAAAATAAAGATCAGTTGTAAGCCAGCGCTTCTCGTCGGCTGCCTTTCTTTGTGCTCGTCTAAAATCAAGCGCTATTTTGCCTTCTTTGCTTGATTATGTGATAGCTATTTCATTTCAACACTCACTCATTTGGGCTGGTAAGTGCATGCTTCATATATATATTGCTTAATAGTGCGCTGCATGGGCGTAACAAGGGGTACACGCTAACATAGACACAGGAGAAACATCCAGAGTAGGTGGGCGCACGTGTGTTGTGAAATATTTCACTCTACGGGGAACTCTAATGGAGGCGCAGAGCAACACCAATGGAGGTGGGCACACTACTACGCGACCCGTTCTGGTTGTGTTTCGTCTGTGTCTGCGTCAGTGTGCACGCTGATGCAGTTCAGTATTCTGCAACATACGTATATATCTAGCCATTTCACATGTGCAAGGTATTGGAATACCTTTTTGATGGGCTTCAGCGGCAAGCTTCTCTGTACACGCGCACGAGGCTTTAAGGCGGGGAGTTCAACAGAATCGAAAGTTGGGCTAGTTGGATATGCATGGTATAACTATCATTTAAAGCGCACGAAAAACAGACATAAAGAGACATAAAGGGGAGTTCAATACTAAGCCTCAGTGCGACCTTTCAACACACGCTGACGCCGAGCCACGCGGCGATGTCGCAGGCCCTGAACCTGGTGCAGTCGTACGTGTCGATGTCTGTACCATTGTACGTGTCGTACGTGCTACAATCGACTGCCGCATCGGGTGGCTGGCAGCACAGCGACATGGTCACCGAGCTCAAGATCAGCTTCGTCTACAACACGGCCATCCTCTGGGACCACGGCATATCCACATACCTAGACTCTCACCTCAACGGTCAGTCTCAATCACCTGTTCTGAATATGTCAACAAGGCGCAGTCTTTGCTGGCCAATAAATATGCAGCTCTAGTGCACTCAACGTCAACCAAAATGACTTACAAGTATGCATACTTAGTTCATTGTTTTAGTTATTGTTATTCAGTGGAGTAATTTACATAACCTTTATAGATAGAGATGTGATTATTAAGTGAAAAGTAGATATAAGTAAGCCCCGTAACTGTCTGCATCATGGTGCGACACCTCAACCGTAGCTCACTAGGGATGGTGGTAAGAAGGGATTAAAAGGATAGGCTTAAAAGGTATAGAGATAAAAGAGAGAAGGAATGAGAGAGCGTGACGCACGGACAGCGACACCCATAAGGAAGGAGAGGATAGGAAAGATGGACACGGTCGCAGGAATCCGAGGATGGGACACCACTCAGCGAGAGCTCTTGTCGGCGGCAGGAAATGGCGTAGAGTGAGCCAGTCAGCCAGAGCGGCGCTGTCGTCGGAGGTCGCGGGGGCACAAAAGGTCGGCACGAAATCCAGAGAGCGAGTCCTAACCTTTGGTATCCTCTTCCATTACATGTATCACTACATGTATCCAGCATACAGTACCGCTGAGGCTGGCTCTTCTATTTTTTTGCATTATTATTATTACTATTATTATTATTATTATTATTATTAGTAGTAGTAGTAGTAGTAGTAGTAGTAGTAGTAGTAGTAGTAGTAGTAGTAGTGTGGTAAAGCCTTTGAACAGTGGGTCGTCCTCTCCAGCGCCTTCTAGTGGGTCGCCCTTTTCATAAGAGCAGCAGCTCGTGCAGAGAGTTGGTCCCCGCATTGACTGTCGCTGTCGTGAATCATCGCGGAGTGTCCGCCAATAAACCTTTTAACAGCAGTAGTAGTAGTAGTAGTAGTAGTAGTAGTAGTAGTAGTAGTAGTAGTAGTAGTAGAAGAGTAGTAGTAGCAGTAGTAGTAGTAGTAGTAGTAGTAGCAGTAGAGTAGTGGTAGTAGTAGTAGTAAGAGGAAAAGGGAAGCGTTAATTACATGAAGCCGCAATTACCGTTACCGTTGTATTAATCCAACGCTTCTTGAGAACCAAAAAAATCATAAGAAATGTCTTTTCGTTTATAATACTGCTTCTTGGTTTTGTATGCGATAGGGATGCTTCGACTTTTGTTACCGTCTTCGCAGGCAGCATATACCCGACACAAATGAGGATCAACGATAACGGACAACTAGTCGTGCGGTTTCGCACAGTCGCTGGCTTTCACGGACAGTATATCCTCGAAAGCAGAGGTAAGCATCTAATATTTCTAATGGTATTTCTTTATCCTTTTCTCGTATAGTTAATGCGCCAGAGACGAAGCATGTCGGGGTGCTGTTTCTGTACAAAACCACCCGAACAAAATTCTTATCACTTCTCATTGAACCAGTTGTGTGATCAGTTCATGGATGATGCTGTCGTTTTTCTTCCTTGTGGCGCAGAACTGAAAAAGATGTCGTACGTCACGTCTGAAGAGCAGCCTGACGTCACGTTCACGCTGAAGCTCGTACGACGAGACGCAACTTACAGCGGAGCCCAGCAGGAGTGGGAGTTCGTCTCGGACGTCGCTGTACGTGACTCTCCTTTATCGTTACGTTACATGACAGTTTTACTCTGGCCGTGCAATATTTTTGATGCGAAGCGGCTTTTTGACCAGCCTGTGTAACACTGTCCCGTCCTACAAACGCTCCGCGCGCGCAAATGTTGGCGTGGTTGACAAGTAGGTCACACCGCTGTTAGGCGATTACGTCACGCTCCTCTGACAGTCAACACCATCTAGAGAAAATTCTTTCCAGGCCGGGGCGCTGCCTGCGGGCCCGTGAGTATACGTCATCAGTAAGGGGCCCACCACAGAAGGCCCACCACGTTTCCGCTAGACGCATAGATGACGTTAGTTCTCTGTGCAGCTTTAGACTACAAACGGGTAGAAATAACTAGGAGGAGGCTAACTGATAGGTGGCTACGATCAAGGTGCGAGTGAAATTCAAACCTTCAACACAGAGTGATAGTACTTAACTTTATGGCTAGGTGGCGTGAGCCACCGCCCGGTCTAAAGGGCACAGCCGGATATATCCATCCATCCGTAAGGAGCCTCGGCGTGGCGGGCACGTTTGGATGAGCTGTGAGTGTTGGCTCGGAGGCACGCAGTATAATAGTTGTTGCTGTAAAAAAACTCGTTGTTGGGCTAGTTGGTATAACATTTCAAAAAGTTAATTTGAGTGCAAACACACCACACATTCACGCACACACACACACCCAGGTATCACAGGCACACCCAGGCATCGAGCGATGTACGTGTTTGATGCCTGGATGTGCGTGTGCGTGAATGTGCCGTGTGTTTGCCCTCGAATTAATTTTTTGAAATAGTTGTTCCTGCTTGGATATTCGTTTCTGTGCGTAGTTCGGCAACAGCGAGTGACCTCGGTGTTTATCGCGTGTTATGTGAGCCGAACAGGCTCGTCCAGAGTTAGAATCGACGGCGAAGTGCCAGTGAAGTGTTGTGTGCCCCGGTGCAACGGCAATTACAATACAGGCCTAAAGCTTTACGTTTTCTCGTTCCCTCAAGCCGACGAAGCAAGACATGCGTGGATATCTGCTAGTCCACGTGAATACCTGGAACCCCGGTGTAAGAAATTATGAATGCGTTATAATTTTCTCACGCAACTTCTGGTATCGTTGCGTGACGAGTGTTGTAGTTTGAAGCGTGTTACGCCTAAATGCGTCAAGCAGAGCCCTGGATGTGCTGTTCCTGTTACGAGGTAGTCGTACTGATGCTAGGATATGCTTCTTCTGTTTATGTGTATGAGCGTCACTTTAAAGCCGAAGGCATCATTCGGGAAACAAGCTATATTGAACAAGCCATATATGCCGCACAATGACCGCACCACTCTCACGTTTGAGGCTACGAGCTGAGGTAGTACAGACAATGTACCCTAATTGTCCAAGCTACCTGTCTATAGAAAGCTCTAGAAGAGAGGACCCAGAGAGCAAGCGAATGCGCTTAGAGGCCGCTTCCCTTGAGAAAGTACCCACCGAGTCAATTCTCACTGCCAAAAAAAGAGGACGAATCAGATAAGCTTTGCGATTTGAAAGATGTTACAAACTTCGTTCGAGGCAAGAAGCTGACATTTTGGCATGTCATCGAATGAAACAACCACGTTATTTTGGCTCACATTTGTAATGATGACACTCCTTGGATTAAGTACTCTGTTGTCGTAAAAACTGACCTATCTCTTACAGTAAGTGTCGCGAAAGCATCAGTGAAGCGGCTCGGGTCCAAGATGGTAGTTAGGTTTGCCATTGACAGCACACGACGGCTGCTGGAGTCGCTGGAAGGAGTCGAGTGGTTCGACAGTGCCCAAAGGTCAAGCTCTGAAAACTCAACCATAGACATCTTCGAGACTGTCACTTGTCTTCTGAGCGAACTATCCACAGCGCAAGAAAACGATAACACCCCGACCATTCAACTGCTCATTAAGCAAGTGAAGTTAAGGTCAACGAAAAAGGATGATGGTGCTACTCTGTAGAAATTATGGTGTACTGCTGCATACTATTTACTGTATATAATGCCTCACGCATACAAGTACATGCGCTGTCACGGGAGCATCTTCATGTCACATCCCAAGAACCATTCGGTCAACATGTTCGTCTTTCGGAATGAAACCTTAACTAGAGCATCAAGACAATACATTCCTCCACTACATGGCCAAGAAGATGTCCGAGCTGAATTAGCAGCAGCGCTACGTGACTTTGATGGTGGACGAAACTCATTTATAGCCATTTTTGACAATAAGAAAGGCACCATCACGGGTATGGCGTTCAATAACGCAGAAGCAGCAAATAGCGCATTTGTATTTATGGTACACAGCCTCATGTGCAAGTTTAATCAGAGAAGCGTCGATTTTTCAGTGGAACGCAAGAGGTCTCAGATCTCGCATATCTGATTTTCGCCAGTTTGTTCATCTGCACCGATTTCCTATCATTATTATATGTGAACCGAAATTATCGCACCCAATCAGATTATCCGGCTACGAGTCATTTTTCTCTTCAAGTGACATCGAAAGTAGCAAGGTTGTTGTATTTATTCGCCGGGAGCTTACTTACGTCGTCCAGCCAGTGCAACCTCATGACAGCAATCAGTATGTGTGCTTGTCTGTTAAAAAAGGAAAAGTGACATTCGCACTTCTAGGCGTGTATATATCCCCATCAGGTCATTTTGATGCCAACAAACTAGACGGCATATTAAGGGCACATCCGGGTCCGTGCGTTATCACCGGGGATTTCAATGCGCATCATCCCATCTGGGGAAGCTCAAGGCTTAATTCAACGGGACGACGTCTAGCATCATTGGTTTCCAGCCATGGTCTCGTCCTTCTGAATGACGCCAGTCCTACGTTTTTACGAGGCACTACATATAGCAGCTGCCTTGATTTGTCCTTTGTTTCACGCCGATTTGCTACACGGGTAAAGTGGTTTTTGGACATTGAAACACACGGAAGCAACCACATCCCCACTTACCTGAAGATCAAAGGTATTTCGAACACGTACTCCTCTACCGCAACACAAAGAATAGATTGGAGTGTGTTCAAGACTCAACTTGAGGATGCTTGTGAAGAAGGCCTGTCCAATGGTCTTCAGCAAGCTATTAAGGAAACTGCACATGCGACTACGTGCACAATAATACGCTCTTCGAAGTACTCTGAATATGACCTCGAGCTGGAGCGACTTCGTGCGATACGCCGTCGTGCCAAAAGACGATACCGACGCACAAATTCCACAGATGATCTACGGACAGCCCGGCGCATCCAAAAGAAGATACAACGGCGCCTTGACAAATTAGACACCCAACGATCGAGGAAATTTTGTGCGTCGCTAGATCCTCATAAACCACTGTCTCAGATATGGAGAATTGTGCGAGGCCTACGTTCTGTTCCAGAGCAGCGTTTTCCCTTCAAAGCCCTTGCACTTTTTCATCGCCGGCATGAAATTGAGGTAGCAGAAGATTTCTGCGCTATGACCGTGGGCCAGACAGCGTACACAAGCCTACATACAGTGAATCAAATCCCTCACTCACGGGACCCACGCATGGATCTACCGTTTACATCACAGGAGCTCGATGCGGCGCTCGTCTTATGTAATAAGTCGTCGTCAACTGGCCCGGATGACATGTCATACAAGATGCTGTGCAACTTTGGTAGACGGGCACGAGAAGCACTCCTTAACATCTTCAACGATTCCTGGCAAGCTGGCGTCGTTCCACAAGATTGGAAGATTAGCCGCTTGGTACCGATCCTTAAGCCTGGCAAATCTCCCCTGGACATTGCCTCTTACCGACCGATCGCACTCTCAAGTTGCGTAGGAAAGGTAATGGAGAGAATGATCTTGGCCAGGCTTGAATGGTACCTGGAATACTATGAGATATATCCGAACGCTATGGCTGGTTTTCGCCGTCACCGATGTTCGATCGACAATGTTATAGATCTCGTCACATATGTCCAGCAACAAAAGGCAGGTAAACGACTATCTGCAGCCATGTTCCTTGACGTAAAAGGAGCATACGACAACGTTCTACATGACGCCATCCCCGAAGCCATTGAGTCAGTGGGCCTAGGCGGGCAACTGTATTGTTGGACACGCAGCTATTTACAAGGGTGGACCTTGTTTGTGAACACTGCAGATGGTCCAACTTCCCAACACCCAACGCATCGTGGAGTCCCGCAAGGTGGCGTCTTGAGTCCAACCCTTTTCAACCTCGTTCTCATTGGTCTTTTAGAACGATTACCAAGTGTGGTCAAGTTATCCATGTACGCTGACGACATCTGCGTCTGGACATCTCGCGTGACAAGGCCTCAGGTACGCGCAAGACTTCAGAAAGCTGTGACGTTGGTATCAGTGTACCTCAAGGACCAGGGTCTGAAAATCTCGCCAGCGAAATGTGCATTGATTGCTTTTAGTCGAAAGCCAATGAGACCATACGCTATATCAATCGATGGCCAAGTCATACCATATGTCAGGACGCACAGATTTCTAGGCGTATTCATTGATAGAGACCTCTGCTGTGGCCCACATGTGGCCCACCTGAAGAAGAGGGTGACAGAAATTGCTAACTTATTCAAGTATCTCGGAGGAAAAACCTGGGGGACTTCAGTACATGCAATGATGCAATTGTACAAGACGCTTTTTCTTGGCTATTTGCGCTACAGTTTGCCTGTGTTGACCAACACCTGTAGAACCAACATTCGGACTCTCGAAAGCATCCAGGCCATGGCTCTGCGAGCTTGTCTTGGGCTACCGCGATGTTCATCATCAGCTGAGACAATCGAGATCGCTAATGACTACCCGCTAAAGACGCATATCATGATGGAAGTGCTCAGAGCACACGTGAGGCATCTTACTCGTGCCCCTGCCCATCATCTAGCTTCACTGCCAGAAGCCCGACCTCGTGCCTCATTTTGCCAGACAGTTTTGTCATATCGCACACGCATTCCTGCGGGATATACAACTCCATCGAGGATTTCAACTCCCCCATGGAGTTGCGCACATGTTGTGCACATGTTGAACTCACGGTTC